GCCGGCAAGAAATATTACAAACCCCTGACGGGCGACGAGACATACACATCAGCGAGAAGAAATGTTATCGACCTCACTCAACAAGTTGGAAAGACACAGCTCGTTCCGGCGGGAGCAGGCGTCGGGAAGCGCGGTCGTGGAGCTGGTTTCTACTGTGAGGCTTGCGACCTCACGTTCAAGGACAACAAGCAATTCGTAGAGCATCTCAACACACCACAGCACTTGCTCAACACAGGCCAGACGACAGAGGTGAAGCGCGCAACGGCTGAGGAGGTACACCAGCGCATCGAATACTTCATTCGACGGCGAGAAGACCTGGAAAAGGAGAAGCAGACGAGTCTACATGAGCGACTGCAGCTACGGGAAGAGGAGGCTGAAAAGGAGGCCGAGGAGCGACGCAAGAAGAGAAAGGAAGAGAATGAGAGGAAAAAGGCAAAACGGGAAGAGGAGTCCAAGGTCAAGATGGAATATGGAGACGACATTCGAATCGAGGGCGAGCATGATGAGGACGACATGATGGCACAGATGGGATTTACCGGGTTTGGAACGTCAAAGAAGTGATGGATATTTGGATAACATGATGATACCCCGTGTTCTACATGGCTCTGTATATTGAATTTTTGTACCATACAAGAAGCATTGGATTGGCATGATGGCTGATTACCGCAAAGGTCGGTGAGTGGTGATGGTCGATGTGGACGATGCAGGGGGATGCAGTGTGCCACCCCCTTTGCACGCACAGTAGATGAACGGTTTTTGGATAACACTGCGGCCCAATGATGTTGGTTGGAGAAGTCATAACAAGATGTCAGATTGATACTCTGCCCTGCATGCCTTGTACCTGGCAAGCTCGGCATTCATGTTGGAAACACTATCCCTGAGACAGCCTGAGGTCAGCTCTGTTGAATGAGCTGATTGAATTCCATTTCATCAATCTAAGCAACGCACGTTATGCGTAGATCACAAACAGTCTCGTGAATTGCTTCTACAAGTTCCAGAACAAACAATAGCTTTCCATCCTCAATGGCACGTTTGCCTTCATAGCGGGGCGGTCCACGAGGGCGAACCCCCGCCTTGATGCACGACGGAAGGCGTCCCATCCCCCACCCGGGACACCTCGAGCTGCCACCATCAGAAGATCCCAGCATCCCATTCCCACCGCTGCGGTTTCCTTGTGGACCTTGCATATAATAGCTGACTGCAGGCACCCAGTGAGCCTTTCCCTTTTACATCTTCTTTTTCTCTTCACGCGCAGCATCAAGTTCGACAGCATTCTTCCTTTACCGTCTACTAACCACCGCGCGATTCCATCACCATGGCGAGCTCTGCCCCCGCCGCCGCCCTCTTGAAGCGTCAGCTCAAGGAGATGCAGACTGGCAAGGACATCCCTGGCATCTCGTGCGGCCTTGTCAACGACAACAACATCTTTGAGTGGGAAGTCATGCTCATGATCAACGATGATTGCAAGTACTATGGCGGTACGGATCCCTTTTCCCGTCTGTTGTGACCCAAACATGATGCTGATCTTGACTACCAGGAGGCAACTTTCGTGCCCGTCTCGTGTTCCCTGAGAACTACCCACACATGCCGCCATCGCTCACCTTCCAAGACCCGATCCCCTTCCACCCCAACATCTACGACAACGGCAAGCTCTGCATCTCCATCCTACACCCACCTGAGGAGGATGAGTACGGCTACGAGGATGCTTCAGAACGCTGGACCCCCGTTCAGACCCCCGAGACCATCCTGCTCAGCACCATCAGCCTGTTCCACAGCCCCAACGACGAGAGCCCGGCCAACGTCGAGGCCGCTCGGATGCTCCGTGAGGAGCGGGAGGGCAAGCACAAGGACTTTCGGAAACGATGCAGAAGATGTGTGCGGGAGAGTCTGGGAGAGGACTAGCTGAGAACCAAAAAAAATGTCGGGAATAAGGCGGTCGATTTCTGGATTGGCGTTTGGTTGTTGGAAATGGAGGGATGTGAAGTTGGCGCCGACGAGTTATGAGCATTCGCTTGGCGTCGTGGGATTTTTCTTGGTGATTAGCTTTAGCATGACCATGAAGCGACATTGTTCATTTGCATTTGTTGGAAGTGTATCAGGGACAGGGAAACCCAGGTGACTATGTGGCCTTCTCCTCGTCCACCAGCCCAATAATTTTTCCAACCACTCGATCCCACTCCTCGTCCCATCGTAGTTTGCCCTCACTGACTGCACCCTTCTTTAATCGAGCTAGCTCTTCTTGTCCGGAGAACCCAAGTAGCCTTCGGAGGATTTCTGCCAACTCGGACGAGGTCTCAAAACCGCAGCCATTCTGTCCCTCCTTGACGAGCTCACTGAAACTCTCAAAGGCACAGTATGCCGCAACAGGGAGACCAGCACCAAACATGTCCACAACCTTCATGGGGAGATCCACACCGGAGCTAGATTTGTGTAGTGAGATGCCGAGATCAGCACAGGCCAACAACGAGGCGTAATCCCGAGTAGACAGCCAGGCAGTCACAACTCGGATGCCAGGCAACTTGCCCTCCTCCTGGAGTGTCTTGATCCGCTCGAGGTACTGTTCCTTTTGTGGGCCCTTTCCGGTAATGATGGCTAGGATAGGAGAAGACTCGGCAAAGTCGTTGGCGTAGGATACGAGGGCATCGAGAAGTAGGCCAAAATCTTCGTCTGGCGTCCACGAGGTGCTGCTGACAATGAGACGAACCGCGCCGGCCATGATATCCTTGGCCAGGGCCTTGGTCTCCGCAAGCCTAGACAGAAATGCCTGTCGCTCTGCTGCTGACATGATAGGCTGGAACACCTCGGCTGGTCGGTCGTGTAGAGTGTAGACGGGGTGCTTCACACTGAATGGCTTCACCTTGAGTTGACGAGCCATGGCATCAGTGACGGCAAGATTGGCATCACCTAGATAACGTCCAAAACCGGTCTCATACCATCGATATAAGGGCACAAGGGGCTTATACCAACGATTCTGGGCAAGAATGGTGTATCCGTAATTGTGCCAGTCCACGACAAGCTTGCTACCTCGGATGAGAGAGACCATGAGTGCCACATGAAAGGTAGGAATAGATGGAGGGTTCTATCTATGTTACTAGAGCTCACGATATGTAGCTGGTTGTCAACTTACCTGGATGATGATCCATTTGGCTGGAGGCGCATCATACATGAGAGTACGGAACATGCCCCAGAACTGCCATATGACCTTCATAGGAAGGTTAAGAAAGAATGGCAAAGTTCCCCATCGAAGAACCTCAGGCTGCGGCGGAAGGGGATACATGGTGACTCGAGGGTTACCAATGAGATCAGGGTGTCTCGCCGTCTCTGCTCAATATTAGCCTTGAACACGACCACATATTGATAGGTATCACCTTTGTAGCCGACAATATCGACATTTCGTCCATGTTTGGCAACACTCAATGCGTGATACTGCATGCGAGGACTGCGACCAACGTCGCCGACGACGAGGATCTGGATGTGCTCATCTTCAGGATTCTCAGCTGGACGATATCGGGTTGGGATGAGATTGGCGAGCCCGCTCAAAAGCCATACTAGGAGGATACAGCTGAGGCTGCCAGCGATGACGGAAACAACGAAAGCGGCTGACATGTTGCGGAGAAGGAGTTGTCCTGTCAATCAGGGCATGGCGCCGAGGCTATCGAATGTGTGAGATGTGATGTTGGTGTTGGTTGCTTGGTGGTCAAGGCAATGTGTCCCCTGCAGCGGGGGTTCCACACGCGCCGTGGCCGCGCACTTGGACCGCCAGTGACACTCGGAGGAAACGAAACAATCTCGATCTTAGAGGAGTGAACCCCGGAAGATGATCAAACGCAACACAAGATAAGGTATACGCGAGTTGAATTAGATGGAGATTTTAGTCTAGGCAGGCACAGAGCGTACCTGAACCGGCCGTGTTCTCGAGGCGTAGGAGATGCTTGGCTGTTGGTTGGTAGCCTTTCTTGACCATTCCACGCCAGAACCCAAGTCGAGAATTGCCTTTGACCGACCTCAACACACCATCCTATCAACTGTCGAAAACTGAATAGAATTTCGCTACATACACCCGCCAAGCATTTTATACCAGGAACGTCATGGATTACGTCGTCATACGAACCAGAGAGATTATCTCAACCTGAACCGCAGCACGCAGCTCGCTCAGGGGTCGAGATGCACGGGGAGTCTGAGGCGCAAGTGCAACGCTGCTGCGGGGTGTGACGGCGGGCCAACTGCACCTGGACAACCCTCAAACCGCGCTAAAGCATCAAGGGCACTAACGTTTAGCGGACCTCCTAGGCCGCATGCAGGGGGCAGACCTCCATTTGCACCGCTGCAGCCAGTAACCGGCCAGCGTTCGACAGCGAACCCTGGCGGCCATGGCGGTCCGTTATCAAAGAAACAGGAAGGAGCAAGCTGCTCAATGAGGAGGGATCCGAGCACGGCAGGTACGAACGAACGAACCAGCCAGCCATCCAGCCAGCTACCAGATGACTGATTCTCGACGACAAGAAGCCAGATCAAGACCGCTCTCCAGGTTGTCCATGTCTTGACCCTCCCACATTCATGATTTAGGCCTCTCAACATCCGATCTGGGCAATTTCAAAGGCTCCTCTTGGCCCTTGTTAAACTTCTGTGCCATCCATCCTCGTCGATCGTTTCTCGTTCGGGTTGGCTCTCGCAGCTCCACGTGCTGCATCATCTCCTATCTGCAGCCCGCCACAACCACGGCTCTTTCACGCCTCCCGCGCCCGCCTTCGTAGGAAAGGTGACGTCCCACAACATCCTCTCTTCTTCACCAACGCATACGGCATAGCAGATCGCCTTCTTACGGGTTCCTCTGGCGACTCATTCCGGCTGATGACGTTGCGATTGGCTCTCGGGGAGGTTCCAACACTCCTTCTCTGTTCGCGATACCTGCGCCGATAATCCGACCGACACTTTGATCTCGAGGCCTCGACTCGAAGCCCAGACTTGACTTTTGCATCTCTCTCGTTGCTGCTGTCAAGATGACGTCCTCCTACGCTCTGCCGACCTCTTCCCTACCACACGCGCACCAGGGCCACATGCACGCGCGATCCCACTCCCAGTCGTCGCTCAACGCGCTCAGGACAACTATTTCCAACGGCAGTCTCCCATCGGTCCCCGACGACGAGGCATATGCTCACAACCACGACCAAAGCTTTGATAATGGTGGTGGAAACTTCAATGGTCACTCCCACAGTCATAGTGGCCACAGGCATGGACACAGCCGCTCGCGCATGTCCAACACGAGCGCCATGCTCTCTCGGGAGAAGCTACCTCCGCCAGCACTGAACACAATGGAGGGTTGGACACAAGAGAGGACACCAGGAGGAAAGAGTGTCATAACCCCAGGTCCTGAGACAGCCAACATGCCCTACACGCCTCCGGACCATCCTCACGACCATCACGACCACGACCACGATCATACTCATTCGCACGACCATTCTCATTCGCACGACCACACCCATTCGCACGACCACCATCATGGACACGATCTTAACCACGCTCACTCTCACGACCCTGAAAAAGCTGCCAAGAGATCATTGTTCACCAGGATGATACTTCCGTACACAGCAAAATTTCCCATTCTCAACGCAATCCTAATTGAGAAAGATTCAAGGCGTATCTTTTATTTCATGGCGTACGCCTTTCCCATTTCCCCATGTCGGAATGCCCGCTAATACCGAATCAGGCTCAACTTTTCCTTCATGGCTGTTCAGGCGTTTTACGGATACGTCACCGACTCTCTGGGCCTTCTCAGCGACAGCATCCACATGTTCTTCGATTGTGTGGCGCTGCTGGTGGGATTGTTGGCTGCCGTGCTGAGCAAATGGCCCCGAAGCCAGCGATTCCCGTACGGATTCGGTAAGATTGAGACTTTGAGTGGGTTTGCCAACGGCATTCTCCTGATGTAGGAACTTTCGACAGCGTGAATGCAGGTACGGTGCTAACTCGAGATTCAGGTTGCTCAGCTTGGAGATTGCCTTTGAGGCGTTCGAACGACTGCTGGAGGGAACTCAGACGAAGCGACTGGGCGAACTTTTTGTTGTCAGCACACTCGGCCTCGTAGTGAACCTGGTGGGAATGATGGCATTTGGCCATCATCACCATGGAGGACATGATCATGGGCACGACCACGGACATTCGCACGATCATGACCATGGCCATTCTCATGGTGGACACGACTGCCACGGCCATAGCCATGGACATGACAATGAGAACATGCATGGCATTTACTTGCATATCCTTGCCGATACCTTGGGTAGCGTTTCGGTTATTGTATCGACGGTGTTGACGAGCTTCTGGGGCTGGGCTGGATGGGATCCGCTGGCGTCGTGCCTGATCGCTGTGCTCATCTTCCTCTCGTCAAAGCCTCTGGTTTACTCGTCAGCAAAGCGACTACTGCTCAGCATCTCGGAGGATACAGAATACAATCTGCGAAACAGCTTGGGCGGTATCCTCCAGCAGCGAGGTGTGGTGGGCTACTCTTCACCCAAGTTTTGGCGAGACGACCACAGTGCTAGTGCGTCAGGAGGAAAGCTACTCGGAATCGTTCACGTGGTGGCAGCTCGAGGAGCGCCTATGGAAGATGTTCGGGACCGTGTGCGCGACTATCTGTTGAAGGAGGGAATCGATGTAGTTGTACAGGTTGAGCGAGAGGGAGACAACTCTTGCTGGTGCAGCAGGCGAGGAGTGCCCGCGCCGGTAGCGACACCCACGGCCTTGACAGCAACAAAAGGGCTTTGAGAGTTGGAGTTGTTGGTCAAATCTGATGAGAAGAGTTGAACGGAGATTATAGAGGAGACGATAGAGGCGGGGTCACGGCGTAGAAGAGGAGAGGCATGATTCCAAGGGGTGTATAACTAGTCGAACGAGGGGATGGCCGTTATTGGGATACACGGTAGATGACATTTAGGGAAGTAGATGTCAGATTTGGATTGAGGGTCTAGGGGACTACACGGCGTAGCTGGTATATCTTGGGCATATCTGGCCAACAAGGTCATGGGATGGATGCATGGAGGATCACATGTACATGATTACCCTGATTTTGTATTACTCAGACGCGTTGGAGGTAGATTGGGAGGATAGTGGATGTCTACGGTAGAAATAGAGAGGATGACAAGGTTCTTGAGTGATTACTCTGTTCTCATCTTGGGTTGGGGTCCATGTTAAAGTGTGAACGAGTCGTGATGGTTTTGCATGTGATGATGAGGTGAGAGGATGTTGTGTGGGGCATTTCTCCAAGAGAATCTCCAACATGTGGTCAGAGGCATGGATGCTAGTGACTGAAAGTTTCGGAGACAAGAGCCACAAAAGTCATCCATGACGGTAGGTGTTGGATCATGACCAGCAGGATCTGGCTTGGATCTGGCGGTGCGCATGCAGGTACCTTGGCGGTTGACTCGTGGCTGGTTGACGGACTCTTCCACGAAGCATGAAGCTATGTACTTGCATGTGAAGGAGCACAGCAGCAGCACCAGATCAGGAAGGATACGTAAGGCGGGAGTTCTACTCTTGTGTGTAATTCATCACAATAGCCTCACTTCTGTCGGCCATGATGAATTCCCCAGCTCCGGCATCCACAAGAGACCAATTCCGTCTGCCCGGCCGCCTCAGCCGTTCTCCAGAAAAATCCCATGAGCTCCGTAGCCAAACCAAGCCGCAGTAGGCAGTCTCCAGAAGGGGGAGAGCAGCCACACAGGGCGTCGGCATTTGGCGCTTACTGGGGCTTCTGTCCCCGTTCATCGGAGCGTTCTCGGTGTCTGAAGAGGAGGGGACCCTTCTTTGCTGGAGAAAGTTGAATGTGGGGGATAATGAAAGTCGACCGAGGAGACATGGGGACGCACCCCGCGAGCCGAAGCCGAGGCAAATGGGGATGGAGCATGGCGGGCCGGGGACCGGGGGTACGTACCTTTTGATATCATTGCCCCGGGACACCGAGGACTTTTCCCAGGTAGGGAAGAGGGTACATAGTAGAGATTGAAGAGTTGAGGGTACTTTTTACAGTGAAAGATGGCAAAATAGATTCTAATTGTACGAGTGTAATCGATATAATTTACATCTAACTACTGCTCCAAGAATCTCCAACGCAGATCTCATCACCAAAAACAATAAAACAACTTCAGCCCAGTCGAATTGAACCCATATGCACGGACCCGGGCGCAAGGAAGGTACGGCCTTTGACTGGACGAAACCCAATCTCCTTTCCCGGTGACGTACCTGAGGCTGGAGGGGGGGGGGCCTACTGACTTTGGCTTGCATAGCCGTTCTCTTTATATCAAGCACCCCCAAGAGGGACAATGACCTTCTCACCTACGTCCCCTGTAACCTCTTTTCTTCTTTTCTTCAACGGCTGGGTAGACTGGAGAACGGAATCTCGGGATTTGCGTCATAATAGATATATATATATATATCCATATCTGACCTCCCCTCGGCCGAAGCTATCCCCCACATTCTCCCTTCTCCACGACTCATTCATATAACCTAACCTCTCCTCCTCCTTTTCCTCCTCCCTTCACCTTCATCCTCCACACAGCATGTCCTCCGCCGACACCTCCGACTCGGCCCTCGAGGCCCGAGTCGCCGAGCAGCTCAAGAACGTCGCCCCGTCACCAAAGGAGGAACAGCCCACCACCAGCGCACCACCCTCTGCCCTCGCCCAGCAGCTCCGCGCCCTCGCGGCCGGCGGCTTCGGTGGTATCTGCGCCGTCGTCGTCGGCCACCCCTTTGACCTCGTCAAGGTCCGCCTCCAGACTGCCGAGCGAGGCGTCTACTCTTCGGCCGTCGATGTCGTCCGTAAGAGTATCGCCCGTGATGGACTCCGGAGAGGTCTCTACGCCGGCGTGAGCGCCCCGCTCGTCGGCGTCACACCCATGTGTATGTCCTCATTAATCTCTCAAGCCTCAGATTGACGATTGATTTCCGCATCTGGTGCCATTGCCCGTGCTCAGTGAGCTGACTTTGTTATCTCCCCGCAGTCGCCGTTTCTTTCTGGGGTTACGACCTCGGCAAGCAGATCGTCCGAGGCGTCAGCGAAGTCCCCGCCGAGGGGCTCACCATTGCGCAGATCTCGGCCGCCGGCTTCCTCTCTGCCATCCCCATGACGGCCATCACGGCGCCCTTTGAGCGCGTCAAGGTCATCCTCCAGGTCCAGGGCCAGAAGCAGCTCGCACCCGGCGAGAAACCAAAGTACAGCGGCGGTCTCGACGTCGTCAAGCAGCTGTACCGCGAGGGAGGCGTGCGCAGCGTCTTCCGCGGCAGCGCTGCCACCCTCGCCCGTGACGGTCCTGGTTCTGCCGCCTACTTTGCCGCGTACGAGTATATCAAGCGCAAGCTCACTCCCGTCGACCCCGACACCGGAAAGCCCAGCGGCCAGCTGAGTCTCACGGCCATCACATGCGCCGGTGCGGCTGCTGGTGTTGCCATGTGGATCCCAGTCTTCCCCGTCGACACAGTCAAGTCCCGCCTGCAGACGGCCGAGGGCAACGTCACGCTGGGCGGTGTCATCCATGAGCTGTACGGCAAGGGAGGTTACAAGGCCTTCTTCCCCGGTTTCGGTCCCGCCCTGACCCGTGCCGTGCCCGCCAACGCCGCCACCTTCCTCGGTGTTGAGCTGGCTCACCAGGCCATGAACAAGTTCTTCAACTAGATGGTGTAAGAGAGACGAGTGGAGCATAGCGGGAATGGAATGTTTAAAAAAGTTCTCAGGGTTGCTGGGTTTATCACTACGGATACATCATACATGACTGGTTGGTCGGTGGACAAGAGGTTACGATGGCTGGACGGGATGGCGTTCCTTGCTGGGGTTAGCATATATATGATTTTGACTGCGAGGGAGCATTTTCTACTTGAAACGTCTCAAACACATAGCATACCCTTCTTTTTATTCTGCGTTCATGTATATCCATCCCCATAGATGTCGTTGGGAGCAGCAAAAGTCAAACGCCATAGACAGACGACAACCTGCGAATTCAATATCTCAAATCAAATATATTTGGGCAGTCTTTTTGTTTGTTCACCATTCCCCTCGTAATCCTGTTTCCCAACTGCCGTCCTTGCCTACCTAGGTATTCATCCAGGTCCATAAGTGAAGCAAATCGTGTCATCTTTCGCCAAAAACCGACTCCCGAGTACAAATCAAATACAATACAGAAACCAACCAAAGACACAAAGAAACAACAAGACGCATCCGTACTGGTAATAAGCCCCCGCCTGTCCCTAGGTATCAATCCCACTGCCATGTTCCGGCATTGCTGTCCCTCTTCTTGAGTGGAAATCCCTGCCGTTTCGCCGATGCAATGAATATCATGATATACAGACCTGTCTGCCGTACAGTATTATAAATATAACGACCAACAGGAAGCAACGCGCGCTAAAAATATCACAAGGCGAGAGGAGATGAATGTATATCTGCTCTATTCCCCCAGGGGGAGGACGTCTGGATCATCCTGTATGAGCATAGATAGGGAGTGGGGTATCATGAGAGTTTGTAGCGCATATTCAAGCACGCTCCGTAGTCGTCCAGCGTCGTTTCGAAAGGCTCATATCACGGAATCGTTCAGCCTCGCCAGGAGGCCGGGGAAGGCCCCATAGTCCGCCAAGTCCGTCACCGAGCTGACCAATAGTCAGCTCCTCGGCAGGCTTGTCAAAGTCGTGGATAACATCCGTCTTGATTCGAATTGGGGCCGACAGTATAGGCCCTCGAGGCTTGCTCTTGGGGGTGGAGTCCCCGCTAGAAGGAAATGAAAAAGAACCCAGAGCAGGGAACGCTGGTGGTGGAAGAGGAGAAGAGAAGGAAAGTGTGGGTGTCAGCTCAAAGTTGAGAGTTGGTGGTGATGGTGATGGTGAACTGGACTCCTCCACGGCCAACTCCAAGTTCGAAGACTGGGCAGTATCCTGCTTGTTCTCGTGGGTTGCATCCTTGAAGCGACCAAAGTTGGGCAACACGGTGTCAAAGTCCTCCTTCTCAGACTCATCGTCCCCGCCATCATCCATTAGCCTGAGTGAAGATGGTCCTGGTGACCACAGGCCAAACGAGGGGCCCATGCCGGGCGAGTTGCTCCTCGGCCCGGCCCCACCCGCTGCTAGAGCCGGGGTCCGCGTTGAGGGCCGCTGGGAAGCCGAACTTCGGCGTATCGATGATCCCAGAGCTGCGCTGGCTGAGGTGCTGCGACTCCCATTTGGAATAATGGGGTCTGAGTAGACAAAGGAGCCAATGAGTGGTCCTGGTCCATCAGTGCTACTGATGCTCGGGGCACGCCCACGGTTGCTCGCAGAGATGGGAAATCCTTCGGCCGAGGTCGATCGAGAAGAGATCGGAGTTGATGTGGTTGATCGCAAGTGGTCGGTGCTTGCAGACATGCGAATATCGTAGACTTGATGAGGTGAGACGTGTGGCTCTCCGTCGGGGTTTTCGAGCTGTGACGTGGCCAGCAGAGCAGTGTAGTCTGCGTCTTGTTTCCGCGCCGCCATAGTGATGGAAGCGATTCCAACGTCCATTAGGACAGGCTGGTGAGTGATGGCGCCGATCAGGGCATTGCAGCCAGCGCCGTGCGACACGAGGATGACCACAGTCTCCACCTCTTCGTCCTCCGAGGTAGATGCGTCGCTGTCGACGCCGTTCTGCATTCCGCCAGGAGACCGTGTCACCATCTCATCGGGCGTCTCAGTTGTGGAATACCAGTCGACAAGCTTCTTGAGGCCTTGTCGGAATCTCTTGTGCATGGACGTCCACTCTTCTCCAAACTGACCACCATCGCCAAAATTCAAGTTGGGCCTCATCGAGTCCCATTGGTAATCAACCACCACGCATTCATCCCGGGCATGTGCGACAAAGCCCTCGGGGATTCTTCCAGAACTCGAGATGGCGTAGTTGGGCTTGGGAATAGTATAGCCCTTCTTGTCTTGCTGATTGGCGAGCTGTCCAGAGAGCGCGGCTGCCATGGCCGAACCTGTGGAGCCCATCTCGGGTGCAGACGATGATGTTGGCTGCATCGGGCGAATCGACGGGCTTGCGCTGGGTGAGCCGTTCCATAAAGAGGCAGTTGAGCTCTTGTGAGAAATTGTATGGGAAACCGTAGGAGGCGAAACCAGTGTGCTGTAGTCTTCGCGCCTCAGCAGTTCGGCCTTTGCGCTACCCATCATGAGCGCCGCGCCAGGCGGCGGAGTAATCATTTCAAAGTATTCGGGGGAAAGCCATTCTCCGAGAAAGGAGTCAAGGCGCAAGATGGTCGATCGAAAGTGCTTTGGGGGGCCGGCTGCTGAAACAAATATGTCGGAAGGGCGATGAGGCGAGTCTGGAGGGGTCTGGGCGAGACCAGAGCTGATTCCGATGGAGGTTTGGACGCATCGCAAGAAGGGCGAGCTGTGGACTACCACCTTGAACCGTCGTCGCTTGCCACATGCTTCATGTTCGATCTTGGCCTGTTCGAGAATGTTTGAAATCTGGTTGCCGACCTGTCTTGACTGGAGCCAGCCACCGTATGTAAGAGGAGGATCGTAAGGAGTGGGAGAAGAGAGGTGCCATTTTTTGTCGGCGGCATCGAGTCGGTTGCCGTGCCTAGAGTTGATGTTAGACCAGCCAGACTACAATGTGTGCGCTATGCTATGCGACGCGATTGCGACGATGCATCATGACGACAGGGGGGCCAGCAGTGGGTGATTGAACGTACCTGACGACAAAGATATAGGCCGGCGTGCGGCCCATGATGTAGGCGACAACAGCGACAAGCGCGTAGAGGCCTCAAGAGTGAATGAAGCAAAAGTGTCGAGCAGCAAGAAGACGCTTCTTGGAGGAGCAAAGGTTGGACAGGATATGGGAGGCCAGGGGGGACGATCAGTCAAATATCCCAAAGATGGTACGTAGCACAGAGGCTTGTACCTCGAGCTTGGAGCGCCCGGTGGAGGGAGGGAGTGGGAGTGCGCAGAGCAAGGTGGAGGAGGGTGGAGGACGCCCACAGTTGGACCAGACCAGGCCAGGCAGGGAAAGTCGGTCGAAGCAGGTAAACTTGGAAGGTTTCCACTGGCGGCCTTGGGACGGTTTGGCGCCTAGCACAGCCAGGCCTCACGTCTCACGCCTCACGGGGTGCGGTAGACACTGCACTGACTGGAGGTCGTCCAGAAGGCTTCCAGGCGGCGAGCGCGGTGCAGCTGGTGGCCAGGGAGGTCCCTAGAACCACTCTGGCGAGTCGCAGGCAGAGACAGGGTCTGGTCCCGTCTGGTCTTGGTCTTGGTCTTGGGGCGGGCGCACGCCGTGGCACCCCGGGCGAGATTTGATGGGAAAAGGAGTCGAGGTCGGATCGAGGCTTTGGTCTCTTTGGTGGAAAAGGAATCGATCAAGGCCGAAAGGAGGGGGAGAGAAGAAGATGAGGAGAAAGAGGAGAGAAACAGGTGACGATGATGAAAGATCTTAAGCTCCTGTTTACGCTCCAGGCTGCGGCTGTGGGAGGGGGGTAAGGTAAGTACAGTTAGAGGTAAGGTTGTGTACTGCGTATTCCAGCGGGGTAGTTGCCCGGAGTATAAAGGAGTTAACCCTCACGCATCGACGGACGCTCTTTTGCTAGTAAGCCTCAGGGAAAACAGGAAAATAAACAACCGAGGACGGCAGAAGGTTCAGGGACCAGGATCGGAACTCGCACAGGCAGAAAAGGACAGGGCAGGGTGTGAGTCGGACAAGGTATTGATCATCGAGGTCAGGTTAATAATATCCATGTACAACAGATGGCAAACGTGAAGTCAAGTCAGACTCAAGCCGTTTTACATCTTGAGCCGTTGGGAAAAATTATACAAAAAAGGCCCGAGAACCTTGATTAAGAGTCATGCCGGCCACAAAGAGAACAATGCTGTCCTTTCATGAATAGCATGCGCGAGAAAACGTTTCCTGTGGACCATCTTGGGCCGAGTGAGATGGAACCAAGACCAAGGAAACCAAGCCAAGTCAGACGTGTATGGTAAGGCGAAGCGAAACTGATGGAGACGATACCTTTGGGGGTCCAACTAGTACTTACCACTGCCCGAGATCTTGGGGGTCGTGATCCATAACATGGTCAATTAGCCCCGGGTTTCAGTCCCATTCTCGAGTATTCCTCCATGTGCAAGACTTCATGATGCCCGCATTCATCCATCCATCCAACGCCGATGATGCTCACTGCGTGCGCAAGCCTCGATGCACCGTTGCAGTAGCCTGATACTCTCCCACGTAGCACCTCGCAACCAACCTCCCTCGCCTTTCTCTCTCTTCAGCCAGCGAGTGTGCCCTCGTGGCCCTCTGCAGGATGCCATTGCTCGAACCGGCATCCAGCCCTCACAAACAAGAGATCCATGGGACGGGGATGGGGCTTAGCCTAGCGGCTGCAATGCGACACAGCAGTGGAGTTGTCGGTTTCCATGGATCCTCGGGTGGACCAGCGCCTAGCGGACGCCATCCAAACGCTTGAGTCGAGGAATTGGGATTTCATTCATGTGATTGTGCCCTTTTCCGCCTCGTTTGCGGCATCTCATTCGCCGCGGCCACCTTTGAACGCCGCTCTTTCGCCCACCTGACGTCTCCCGTCGGAGAATGGCTGAGAGCGTTTCCAAATGTGCAACGCTAAGATGAAAGCCCCCTTCAAGGCACATCTCCCGCCATCTCATGCTGCTGCTGATGTCCGGGGGCAGGGCTGTTATTGTCTTGCACATGCAGCGGGCTTTCTCACAGAAGGCGGCGCTATCCTTTAGCATCGTGGCTATAGAAAAGACCCCTTCCATGGTGCCGGATTCTGCTTGGTCGATGCAAGTCGACACGAACTCGAGGTCGAAGTACCATCGTCATGGTGGAGTCAGTTGCAGGGTCCTCTTTTTTTTTTAATTCCCTCTTCCCTGCAGAAACCGATCCCAGATGATCGTGCTGCATTTTTTTCTTTTCTTGTCCTCATGAGGCATGATTCCCATGACGACCTAGAGCGAGAGCGAGAGTGACCCACGGCCGGCATATCCGTGCCACTCACTTCAAAGCCATGACTGGCTAGGGATAATCTTGCCTTTTGCGCTGCATTGTTTTCCCTTGGCAATTATTAATCCCATACTGCCTCTGTCACAAGCTCAGAAGAAAACAGACCGAAATCGGCTCGTCTCCTGTCCGTCAGCGCAGCACCAGCACCGCCGCCTGCATCGGTCCATTTCACAACGGCGTTTTATTTTCGTATCTTGCTCTACCTTGCAGTGACACCAGAACTTCAGAACGGCATCGGGCCACGTGTGCCTGATACCATTTGGGCCTCCTCTGCACCAGGGAGGTCCATGAGCCATGTCAGAAAATCAGAGCATCTGTCATCAGTGAGCAACCCGGCTGCCCCAACATCGCCATCCATCCCGGCCAGGAGTCGAACGATTCCAGATATCCTCGCCAGACAACTACCACGCCAACAAATTCAATCCCCAACTACTGGCTGCACCCCCAGTTCTAAAAAAAAAGGGGAGATCTCGTCAACATCTACCCCTTGGCTCACCCCAAGATTTCTGTCTTGCGGCAGTGCTGGGCAGTGAGATGCTGGGACGCAAGTATTACCAGCCATCAGCTCACTCCAGCTCGAGGGAAACATCCCAATCGGGAAATTGTTAGTGCTTGAGTTTAATCCGTCCCGCGCCAGAGCCAGCGCCAGCGCCAGGGGCTGCTTCCATCGTCGGAACCTTGACTCCGAAACTCCGGGCCCAGCTCAGCTTAGCTCACGGAATCAACTCCAACAGGTGTTCCCTTCGATTTGGTGACGTCCATCCAAAAGGGGATTAACAAACAAACATCCCATGCTCAATCATCGTCGCTCCCCAGATTTGTAAGCCTGAGAGAGCATCTCTCAGCGACTTCATTCCAGCAGTTCATATCGTAGTGGATATGCTGTTGGTCGCATCTGGGCTGTGATATTCGCTCCTTATCTGCTTTGCTTTCTCTTCTCTTCGCATCACCACAGCTCGTCGTGTCGCCTCCATCATGAACCTGTCCTTCCTTCGATTCCACGTCCTCGTGGCAGCGGCATTGTTCGCAACCACCATCTTCGCCGAGCATACCAGCAACTGGGCCGTTCTCGTCTGCACATCACGATTCTGGTTCAACTACCGCCACCTTGCCAATGTCCTCTCCATGTACCGAACCGTAAAGCGCCTCGGCATCCCCGACTCCCAGATCATCCTGATGCTCCCCGACGACATGGCTTGCAACCCCCGCAACGCCTTCCCCGGAACCGTCTACAGCAACTCTGATCGCGCCGTCGATCTCTATGGCGACAACATTGAGGTCGACTATCGTGGCTACGAGGTTACAGTCGAGAACTTTATCCGTCTGCTGACGGATCGCGTTGGCGCCGAGATGCCACGAAGCAAGCGCCTTCTTACCGACGACCGGAGCAATATCCTGGTGTACATGACCGGTCATGGCGGAAACGAATTCCTCAAGTTTCAGGATGCCGAGGAGATTGGCGCATTTGATCTTGCCGACGCCTTTGAGCAGATGTGGGAGAAGAAGAGGTGAGTCGTAGTTGTCAGCCACTCCTCACTTCAGTGCTAATGCTTTCCAGATACCATGAAATTCTCTTCATGATCGACACCTGCCAGGCCAACACCATGTACAGCAGGTTTTACTCTCCCAACATCATTGCTACCGGCTCATCCGAGCTCGACCAATCCTCATACTCGCATCACGCCGACAACGATGTTGGCGTGGCCGTTATTGATAGATATACCTACTACAACCTAGAATTCCTTGAGAACAACGTCAAGGACTTGAACAGCCAAAAGACAGTTGGCGAATTGTTCGATAGTTACGACTATGACAAGATCCACTCGCACGCTGGTATGCGTTATGATCTCTTCCCCGGTGGCGCCGAGAACGCTCGCAGCCGTTTGATTACCGACTTCTTTGGCAACATTCAAAACGTCGAAGTCGACAGTGCCGGCAACCTGACCCTTGAGGAGGACTTGCTGGCCCTTAGCAAGAAGATTGCTTTGCTACGACAAAAGGAAGCGGAAGCGGCCAAGGAAGCTTCCCAGGGAGGGTCTGCCAGTGCATCCGCCAGCGCCCCGACTGAAGCTGCGAAGAAGATCCAAAAGGCCAGGGCTTTGACAGATGATAACTGGTGGACAAAGAAGGTGGTTGGCGCAACAGCTCTTGCGGGCTGCGCTCTTCTCTGGGGCCTAGGGTCCTTCCTTGAGGGTTGAGTGATTGAATTTCTTGGTGACTTTTACTTGCGAGACCATGGCATTTAAGATGACAGGCATTCTGGCAACAAGGCTTGAAAAAATTGGTGCAATGGGTGGATTACCGACACGCTCTGGACTTGGCTCAGCGAGACATGTCGAGAACAGCAGTCGGAAGAACACGAAAGGATTGCGCTTGTGGCGGGATTCTTGCTCCTGGAGCACGTATATCCCGATCGTGAGCCAAGAGACTATGGCAAAACTATTGGATACCCCATCGCTGGAGTCGAACCTGAGACGACTTGAGCGCAAACCCTATATTTACGCTTTTGAGGCCTGCGATTGTCTGTTTTATGAGATATACTACCTGACTCTTCATGTATGATTGAAATAAAGCTGATGAATAAATTAATTAATGTTCAAATAACCTTTGGTTGACAGTGCGGTGCCACTCTCCGAGCGCGTTTGTCGTGAAGGCGGCTCGATGCCTTAGTCATCCACTTTTTGGTGTTGAACATTTCATCCATCTCCAGCTCGAGCTTCTTCCAGGCTGAGGTCTCAACTTGTTGCGCCTCATCTTACAATCTACACTCTTCATTTTACTTGTATGCGATTCCAATATTAGACATGTTTGAATGCTTTTGTCGGTAGCCAGCCATCACTCGACGCGGGTGAACTCTGTTCATCAACATGGATAAATCCAAGGTGAGGAAAACAAGAACAGTCTCGAATTCTGGTCCAAATGTCATTTTGTTCTTCAAATCAAAAACAGGGTACAGTGATATCAGCTGCGCCTCACCCTTACTCCAGAAACTCATCTTTAGAAAGGAATAGCTTGTTAACGAACCCTGCAGACACGCCCCCTCAGGACCATCCATCTGAAATCACGTCCGCTTACATCACACGCCATCTCGTGGTCCTGCGACGGCGAATTAGCAGTCGCGACAGATGACACCATCTACATCTTCATCCCCGAGTACCCGAGAGGCGGCGGCCCCGACGACGCGGGCGAGGATGAGGAGCTCCAGAGCCAGTTTTCACTATCCTACCGCGCCTCAGGCTTGATCCGCCCAGACCCAACCATCAACGCGCAGCTGTGCTCCTTCTCTGGCATTAGAGTTGCAGGGCCGCCCGCGAATGACGAGAATTGGTTCCCGGGTGTGGGAAATGGTCTGGTGACGGGCTCGGGGGCTTCCATTTGCCAGATTGTGAGGTTGGAGTGGTCGCCGAATGGGCTAGGGTGCAACCTGCGACCAATCCTGACTGCATTGTCGACCAACGGTGGTGTGTATGCGTTGGGGGAGCACATTGACATGCAGTCCACCATGGTTGCTGGGATGCGAACCAGGAGCTTCAAGGCATGGAAGACGCTCTGGGGGCTGGGGGCTCAGCTGCCGCTGCCAGATGCGAGCGTGGAGGATGGTTTTCGTAACATGAATGAGCGGATCCAGTCATTCTCTTGGGCGAAGGAGCTTGCTCCTGGAAGGGCTCTTCTGGCATATTGCAACGATGCGGAAGAGGTGGCTATCATGAGCACTCAGCTGTTTCCACGACCACGGGAGGGAGAACCGTCAATTGATGAGACAATATGGGACATCCGTGAAGTTGGACGGTTCGATGGAAGAGGGAAACATACCAAAGAAGATGTGAGTTACTATGAGCGCGTCTTTGAGGGAAAGTCTAACATGAAAAGGCCATGGATATTACAGACCCGGACTATGTTCCTCATGGAAGCGCCTTCTCCCTGGACTGGAGCCCTTGGTTCTTCGTCGACGGCAAACGGGTAGCGATATTGGCGTATCTTGCAAAGAACTATGTCGGATTCCGAAGAGTCACGATTGTCGGTGATTGGGAAAGGGGTCAGACGCCACAGATCGAGGTTGAGCAGACGGATATGACGTCCATCTGCATGTTCCTCTCAACAGACGCCTACATTAAATGGGAAGATCAGGTAAGGGTACCTCCATAAAGAGGTACATCTTTCTCGCTGACCATGCAAGGTCGTAAACGCAATGGCCAGAGGCGTCATCGCTACACCATTTGATGTGAAACCGTTCCAGGTTGCAGTTGATGAGACCGTAAAGGAAGCCACCGAGCCACATTACACGTGGGAGTGCGCAACGACATATTCCAAGGAGGATGAACAGACTTCACTAAACCCTATCTCTGGTGAATACACTTTTGGGTTGGTTGACTAAGAATGTGACTAACAGTGTGTCTAGGACTCATGATTCATGACCGGGATGCTTCAAACGTGGGCTCTGTGCCCTATTATTCAATAATCAGGCTGTCAGCAACGGGAAAGAACCAAGACTGGTTCCAGACCAACCTCCCTGACACAGAAGCCTCGCTCCCACACTGGGCTGCAAAGATTAGGAAACACACGACAAGGCTTATCCCGAGAGCCATGGCGCTTGAAGGCTTGGACTCGGATTCGGATGACTCTGAATACGATGTGATGGAGGAAGACAGCTCACAGCTACAGGTTCATGAGTCGCGATATCGCATCTGGGGCATGGCATCCTCACCTGGAGGAAGCGTGACGGCAGTACTCGTGTCACGGTACAGCACACAGCACCCAGAGCGTCGGGCCCTCTGCAAGATCATGTTCTCAAGGGATGAACAGATTCAACAGAATGGGGCCATGCCATCTGTGAGACCGCTCACGACAGAGGGACAGGTCTGGGAGTGGATGTACGGCAACAGACCCGAGGTGGCCGGAACCACAGCGGAGAGCAAGATATCACAGGAGCTGCACAACTCGCCGCTTAGAGAGCAGTTCAGAAGTGTTGCTTCAAGACAGCACTGTGTCTTTTGTGACGCAGGTCTGCAGATGGGGGGAGATGAAGCAAAGTGCGAGAGCGGGCACATGTTTGGCAAGTTGCATCCCATGCCGTTCGATGATTACCAACTAACACTTGAGTAGCACGATGTGCCTCTACGGGGCTTGCCATCATGGCTCCAGATATCTCGCGTATCTGCGCCGTGTGCGAATTGCGGTGCTTGAAGGTGACGGAGCTGACGCGAATAGCAGAGGAGCATCTTGGGGCTGGAACAGTGGTTGAATCATCAGGCGAGGTTTGCGGTGGGTGTGGAGGAAAGTTTGTTGCCTGATTAGGTATACTCTTGTTTAGAGATTCATGTATAAATACAAAAGAGAAACACCTTTGATTCAACGCCGAAATGTCTCGATAATTAATCGACTTGACCCCAGATAATCACGTACCTGGGTAGGTAGAGTTGGTTCGTGGGAATAAAGCCCCACCCCCTCTAATTGGTCTACCCCAGCCTTAAAATAGAGAAGAATGTGAGACATGCGCGGCAACAAAACCAATCAAAATCTGTCTGACCCACTAACGCCCTTTAAATCCAGTGAAAAAGGATTAGGTTGCGCTTCTCCAGGCGCCACGGCGTCTACCCGTCAATGCAAATGTCCCGTCCCTTTTGAGCTTCCCTCCCATTCTTCATTTGCACTCATTCTTTTCATCAGCCTCAGCGTTTTCTCTTCTCCTGCCCTTGCATTTTCAAAACACATCAGTTTTTAGATATTAGCGATACCTGCTGCCGCACTTTCCTTCCGTTCCAGGTGGTGCCGCCGCTGGTGATAACTTTTTAGCGAGTGGTCGGCACGCCTTAGCCTTTGAATATATACACCATGCCTGCTACACGCGCCGAGGCGGCCCAGGTGCCCAACAAGGACAAGTTTGAGAAGTGAGTCGACGCCACCTCCGTTGACATGAATCATTGCTATCATCGCGTTTAGCCTCGTGAACCTGTTAACACGCGTATTCTAGGTCCATCTCCTCCAAACCCTTCGTCTTTGTCATTGGAGAAGAGCGTAAAGAGTTTCACATCCACAAGGAACTCATCGGCCAGCTTTCACCTGTTCTCAATGCCCTCGTTAATGGCAACATGAAGGAGGCCCGTGAGGGCCGCGTCGAGTGGCTTGACCTCGACGTCGACACTTTTGTCCGCTTCGCCAAGTTTGCCTACTCGGGTAACTACACCCCGGCGGAGCCCGAGCTCATCGCCCCGGACGATGCTGTCGTTCTTGCGCCGGGGGAGCAGGATGGCAAGACCTTGGATGGTGAGAATGTTGAGGAGGACGAGGACGAGGACGAGGAGACGGACTCATCGGACACGGATGATGATGACTCTTCAGATTCCAGTGAAGGCAGCGACACAGACGGACCTATCGAAATTTTATCTGATGATCAAGAGACGTCCGAATACTCTTCTTCCTCGGAGGATTCATCTACGCTTGACAACGGCGGGGACGAACACTTAAACCGGCGCCCCATCGATGTGTCGATTGACGAGCACGGCATGATTCATTCATACACCTCTCTGCCTTATTCTCTTGAAAACTACATGGCCGAGTGGGAAAAGTGCCTAGACTACAGGTACATCAAGCACCCTGACCTTCCCCCCAACAAGCGCCGTCGTGACGAGACCGACTTTGGCCGGATCCCGCCCAGACCCGTCAACAAAAAGTACGAGGCCATGTGCATCTTTATCCATCCCATGTACGACCCAGCTCCTCGCGAGGCCCCGCGCAGCGGTGTAAACACGAACCCCCACGAGTCTTACCGGCCCGTGTTTCTAAGTCACGCGCGCCTGTACATCTTGGCCGACAAGTACGGCGTGAACCGCCTCCGCCGGCTCGTCCTGGCCCGTCTTCACCGGACCCTCACTCACTACGTCGTCCACAGAGACAGAATCTCGGACCTTATTGCCCTGGCGCAGGAGATATTTGACAACACCATGGAAATGGACCACGCGCGTTCCCTCATTGTCAACTACCTTGTCTGCTTCATCGAGGACATCCAAGACAGCCCAGAGCTTGAAGATGCCCTGCGTCGAGGAGGCGATTTTCCTGCTTTGTTGGTTAGCAAGATGGCAAGGCGTCGCATATAATTCAAGGATGGCGGATGGCGGTTAACAGAACGCCATGCCATGACTTATAGATACAACAATACACTATGGGGGGAAGGAGGATGGAATGGAGCCGGAAGCGAGGCGTTGAGGTTACGCCAACTTGCCAGGTATTGGCAAGTTGGGACATTTTCGGCTAGTTACCTTTTAATTCTTTCATCTCCTCGTGATTAAAAGAGAGACGTTGGGATGTAATGCTATAGAAAGAATATATCACATACCTCTACCTGCTGCACCTTCTATTCGTTTACTCATCATCGCCAACCTTCTTTGTAAACATGAATAATCACAGCTAGTTTCATCATACAAGGGACAGTGACAAGTGTTGGTCATTGAGAAATCTCTTCATTTCCTATCCTTTCATCTCAAGTCTTAACATCCTAGCTTCCGAGCTTCATTCAGCACTCATCCCTCGGCAAGCTCTCCTCCTCAACCTCCATCCAACGACCTGGAACCAGTCGCAGGATGAAGAAACGAAAAATGAAATACAAAAAAGGCGCAAACATAGATAGACATTAGCGACTAGCGCAAAGCCCTGCGAGAGAGGACATTGTCTCAAGGCGGAAAGTCGTAACCCTGTATGCGCGTTTCCCTCAAAACCGGCTATTCAGCCAAGGAACTCAAACTCTCATCAGGTTGCCCCGATAAAAGCGATAGATAACGTGCCACAATGCAGTAGCGGGATACGACCGCCTGAGATATGTGAAGTGTATATGAACATGAAACAGAAAAAAAGGGGGCTCAAAAGTGGCCACATAAGGAAAAAAGAAGTAGAGTGAGTGACAAGAAGTTTCAAAAAAGAAAAAAAAAGAGTTGTGTCGAAATCATCCCCCAAGTCATGCAGGATCGTGGGCAGACCGTAATGCCCTGTCCTCTCCTTGGTATCGCAAAACGCCGGTCCTTTTATTCCTGTTTTCGTCCAGAGCCGTCCAAAGTGGTAAGCTCCTCAGCCAGATTTGGGTCGCGCAAATTCTCAATATGCCTGACCGGGCACGGGCTTCCTGTTAACAGACCCGGTGGAAGGACCTGGGCGAGGTGCTTGCGAAGGGTTCATGGGGCTAGGTCCGGGAGGGCTGTTTCGTCGGTTCATTCCATTAGGGCTTTGAGAGCGACCACCAGCAGGTCCTGGCGACTGCGAGCGAGGGCTGGGGCTCATGGCTCGGTTGGGAGGTCCCTGGCGAGGACCCGGGGACTGAGATCGGGGTCCAGGGCTCATCGGGCCAGCAGGACGGCCGTGGGGTCCCATGGGAGGTCCCATAGGGGATTGAGGACGGTTGCCGTTGGGTGTCATGGGACGACCAGCGGGTGAGGCAGGGCGACCTGGGCCAAAGTTACCCTGAGAAGTCATGGGACGCTGTCCCTGGGGGTGGTTAGGCCCAGGTCCCCGGGGAGAGCCAACGGGCTTGACGGGAGGTCCAGGGCGAGGACCAGCTTGGGCAGGACGAGGCTTGACGGGGCGAGTAGACAGACAAGTACGTGGGACGACACCCTGGCGAGAGCGGTCAAGTCGGATGCAGAGCGCCTAGAAGCTTGGTTAGTGCATGTTCGAAAACATGGTGTTTGATAATACTTACCCAGCCATCATCATACTCGTGGAGGAGTCGCACAAGATCACCAGCCTTCAGTTCCAGCTCATCATCAAGTGTGGGCTTGAAGTCAAGTTGGACACGGTGAACAGCCGAGTTGGCAGGACCTCCAGCAGCCGCAATTGCGGCAGCACCGCTTGAGCCATCAGGAGTACCAGGGGTGGCAGAGGCAGTGCTAAACTCAGTACCAGCAGGGCTAGCAGGGATTGCAGCCAGATGGTTAGGACCGGGAGGAATAGTGAGATCAAGCTTCGGGTGACCGTTGTTGCGCATCGACGTCTTACGGGCCAGCACGGCGGCTCCGGCTCCGGCTCCGGCAGCAGCAGCTCCAGCAGCGGCGCCAGCAGAAATAGCAGGTCCATTGGCAGTGAGGGGATCGTTGACGGGCGATGAAGGCGATTGAGGAGAGACAGATCCAGCTGAGGCAGCAGCAACAGGGACCGCAGCAGCAGCAACAGGAGTAGAGTGCTCGGGGATCGGGCCAGGAACACCGCGGGACTGGAAGCTCTCCTCCTGGACAGGAGAAGGAACACGCTCAGCCTGGTGACCGAACGGGTTGGCGGAATCAGTGCTCTGAGCAGTTGCAGGACGCTCCCAGGCACTGCCTCCAGGGGTTCGTGGAGACAGAGGTCCAGCAGCAGCAGCGGCGGAAGTAGAGGCAGGGACAGCAAGGGCCATGGCAGCGCCCTTACTTGTACGCTTCTGACCATCAAGACCGTTCCAGTTGGGGAGGAACTGGGTAACAGGTCGGAGGCTAACGCGAGGAGCCTTTGCGTCAGTCCGAACAGAAGCAGTCTCGACAACATCAGGGGCCTCAGGGGTGACAGAACGCATAGGGCCAGTCATAGCGCCCATTGTGCCCATTCCACCTCCAATTGGACCGTTCAGCTTCTCGTCGTCATTCTCCAGTCGCTGCATCTCAGTCTGCTTGCGACGCCTGTTGAAGATGAAGAAGACGAGCAAAGCAACTGCAAGAAGTCCACCCAAAACACCAAACGCAATGCCAGCCTTGGCTCCGGCACTGGTACCGCTGGATGTGGAGGCTTCTGCCGTCGCGCTGGAAGTGGAAATGGTCGAGGATCCGCTGATATCTTGAGCGGCACCAACGGCAGCCGTCCCGGTAGCATCACCAGTAGCCTTGGCGAGGACAGATTCGATCGAGCTTTCCGTAGGCTCGCTGATGACGCTGGGAACAGATGAGTGGTCCTTGGTGGTGGTAAGGACTCGAGTCCTTGTGGGCTTGGTCGTTGTGGCTTTCTCGGTCGCGGTCTCGTCCTTGTCGTCCTCATCCGTGCTCTTGTTGCGGGTCTTTGCCGCTTCAGCCGCCTTTTCCTTTGCTGATTCCTCTGCTGCCTTCTCTTTGGCTTCCTGTTGTGCCTTCTTCTTCTCGGCGGCTTCTTCAGCCGCCTTCTCCTTAGCCGCTTCTTCTTGAGCCTCCTTCTTCTTCTCTGCAGCCTCTTCCGCGGCCTTTTCCTTGGCAGCTTCCTCCTGCTCCTTCTTCTTTTCAGCTGCTTCCTTTTGCTTCTCGGTCTGATCCTCGTCGTCCTCGTCTTCGTCCCTGTCAGTCTCCTTTTGAGCGTTGTGGGTAATCACAGGTGCCCTGTTCTGGGCCTTGGTTGCCTCAGCCTCATGGCCGACCGTCTTATAGCCGCCAACTTTGCCTTCAAAAGTGGGTTCCAGGGTCTTAAAGACCGTCTTGATGACCTCTGTCAAATATTAGTAAATCTACGTGGGATAAATATCGAGTCGATCGGGAAATGGATATCCATTCTCAAAATTCATTGCATCGACGCGACAGAGGCGAGACTCACGCGGTTCCCTCTTCTCTACATGGCGCTTCTTAGTGTCGGCGGATCCTTGAATCTCATGAGCGATGTTACCGAAGCCGAATAGGCCATCGGCCCTGCGATGCACGCGCGCGTGCCGGACATGCATGTTGGAAAAAGTAGAGTAGTTGCTAAAGGTTGAAACAAGTTTGAAGGGTGAAATTCGTCGGTGATCGATTAACGCGGTGTTCGCAGCGGCGATACGATATATCGTCCTTGGGTGGTGGGTGACCAAATCGCGGGGCTGGTTGCTGAGACGACTGGAATGGAGAACGATACAATCGAGGGCGGGAACAAAGAATGTATTCGTAGGGACTATCGGAGCCGGAGTCGGATTGTTCGGGAGGCGGCGGCGATGTCTCAGATGCGAACAAAGGATGTCGTAAAGGAAGGTAAATGGGGGACGCAGGTTTCAAGTGCAACGGAGCGCAAGTGGTTGTTGTTGGACCAGATGCCAAACGAGAGAGTGTAAAAGAGGTTGATCCGGTCGGTTTGTTAATGAGGTTTGGCTCGGCCGGGTCGGACTGGTTGGTGACAAAGAGCAAACGGTAGCAGTCGTTCTTTGCAAAAAACGCGCCAGGCAGGGGAGAGAGGAAACGAATGGACGAACTGAACTAGACACGGAGCAACGACAAAAGAATGCGAAGCGACCGTGAACAGCAACAAGTTCTAGAAGGTGGATTTTGAGGGAGTGAAAAAGGGTAGAAGGGAGAAAAGTGAGGGTGGTGGTGAGAGAGAGGGAGGAGGAGACGAAAGAAAGGGAATGAGTGGAAGTGGGAGTGGGGGAGGAGCCAACGTGCGGCCTTGCCGAGGGCACCCAACAGTCCGTCAAGTCGCTGGATCGATTACCAGTCCCAGTGAAGCAAGCGACCCCCGGACAGTAAATTGGATCGATCACTTCTCTTTGATAGGGCGAAACGAGCCCAGAAAGGGTTAACGTGTAAGTTTAGCAGAGGATGGACCCAGCTGCAGGGCAGTGCCAGCGCTGTTTCCGTACCAGCAAGGTACTCGCTTCGCGCCGTTGGACAGGGCAGCAGGGTTTCTTGGGTGAATGTTTCATCCGGGACCAGCTGGTGAGTACCTGGCGGTTACCGTCTCTGTCTGTGATGTGACGCTGCTGTCTAGAAAGACTGAGCAGCGCTTGGAAGAGGTGCTACGTCCAAGGGGTGACTCGACGACCTAGGGGGAGCTGCAAGATGCTGCTGGCGTGCATAAAAGGTGCACAGCATAGATCAGGTGCATTAGAGACACGAAGAAGACTATTCTAATTTTACTAGTACTGCACACCATCTTTCATGTGTGTGTGACGGACGTTTACCGTGTCCTCGTACAAAGACGTCCATGACAGCTCGGGCGAGAAATGAGCCAAGGGCCCTTCCCATTCCCACTTGCCGCATCCATCGGGCGCTGCAGATGATGATCAGCAGAGTCTTTTTTGCCGACAAAGAATCGAGCGATTGGAGAGTCCTCTCGACCCTCCTTCAATGTGCAAGGGCCCCCGCGCGCGGCAAGGTTGTGATGAGTGTAGTCCAGTCGGACTGGGGTTACAGTCAGGGGTGGCTTGGGTGCCATCCCCACTGACGCCAGCCGCCAGGGACCAAGGCGCCGCTATTGGTCGACGTCACCCCACTGCATCTTGCTAGCCAGGAACCGTTGACGGCGCCGGCCAATCCAGGGAATGTCGGGGCGCCGGGCCTTTCACTTGGGAGCTGGAACCTGTAATTCAGTGGCTGTCGGTGGCTTCAATGGTCCAACGGGCTCTGAAGAGTGGCGCGAGGGTCTCATCACCTGGTCAAGCTGGGCCTGTGACCCTTGCTCTCTTCATTAAATTATCCCCATGCATTCAGACTTTGTCCCCTTTTCCCCTTGTCCAACCTCTCCCATCGTGTCGGATGTCTCTCTCGGCCTGAGAAAATATTCGCATCCATGATCGCCCTCGAGCTTACCTCTTTCAGCAACTTCTGCTTTGACTGGTGCCTTTCATCTCCTGTCACTTTTCAAGGATCACCATGAGAATGCACGGATCCATCTTTGAGCCGACGGGACGAATTTCCATCTGATGCAGAGTGATGGAGTCTATCTTCCCTTACATGATGATGCAAACAAACACCAACAACAACACTCTCAACAAACAAAACTCTCTCTACCTCAAACTCAGCCTCTCTAAACTTGTTGGTTCCATACTGCCCATCCCAGTCTCACATCCTCCGTCATCCTCATCATCTTGACAGGTCCCGCTCCGCCCGCTACTAAGAGCCCTCCTCCCTCATCTCGCAATCCTTTCAACTCGAGAGAACAGGACCTATTAATGAACCCGGCAGAAATGGCCTCATTCTTGATTCAGCCGCACTCTAGAACCCCAACACCGTCATCTCTTTTGTCTGCCTCCAAGCGTTCGGCCTTTGCCTGGAAGACACAAACCGCTTCTTTTCCTTGCGCCACACTTCTCCCGCTAGCTGGGATCCTCTCCAAGTTGAAACGAGCATCCCAGTCAGTGCATCTGCCGATCCTCCCCTCCAAGTAGCGTCATCCACCCGGTTTGCCCATGTCCGAGATGAGCTATTCGTGCCTGCAATGCGAGGCCTGGTCGGTAAGTTGTAGACAGTTGTGCTGCCTTTATTCACATGTCCTGCGAACGCCAAGTTCTGCATAATTCTGGCGCAACGCAAGGCAACGGCAAAAGCAAAGGCAAAAACAGAGGTGTGGTACCAATTTTAGCTCAACACCAACAAATTACGGGCTGCTCGTATGTACGACTAGCAGAGGCAATTTACCAGCTGGGCATTGCTCACTGTGTGAGTCTTCCTCAACCTCGATCTTGAGTTACACCTCGAGTCTGTTGGGTCAACGTTGTTGTTTCATACTGAACCTTGATCATGTTGGTTACTGGTAAACAACGTCAATCCTGCCTCACAGATCACGGTCATGGTCATGGCCTGTTCTTCACTCGAGCTTCCTTCCCCAGCCTCAGCTCCAAACGCCGGTGTTTCGGCCTCGGCTGGGCAAGGCATTCTCAGAGAGCCTACACCTGCACAAGGATCCTGCTTCTACCATTGTGTCACGGGCCATTGCATCACGAAATTTCACGAGGCCTCAGTCTGGATCCATCCCAAAGCCTCATCTCGGATCTGTTTCTGATTCTAATGACTTGCCTTGTTCCACTCGTCACGTTTCCGGCTGCCTCAAAGACATCGGATCAAAGGCAGTTTTCTTGTCTCGTGCCAGACAGAGCCTTGACCCTTTTTTTTCAATCAACTCCGAGTCAAAACGTCACAAGAACGGATCAGGGACCGGAACAATGAGGCCAAGACACTGCCATGAGACATTGCGTTCCTTTCACCGAGACCTTTTAGCTGTCTCAATACCACACCCAGGATTCCGGTCTTGGATGCAAACGCTATCCATGACATCACAAGAGTTTGAATGTGTAATAGCCTGTCTTTGAGGGTTGTCCTCCATATGGCACAAACATTGGCAAAGACCGTGCTATGCCCGTCACAGCTCCGGATCTAAGATGTGCTTGTTATGGCTGGTTCTTGTCACAAAACACTTCATCTAGCGGATTTGCTTGATAATCAGGCGTCTATCTACGCCGTATTGTTTCGAAAGCATCCAGTTACTGGCCGCTTAATGGCGTTTAAGCATGAGATAATCCGTCAGAAGCGTACTCCGTACGGACTAAGGCCGATGATTTCTAAGAAAAGTCCGTATCCGGTCCCCACACGGCGCCGGTCCCTCTCAAGATGTCGGTCTTCGGAGCCGTGGCTGTTCCGACCTCAACGGCGATTGGCTCATCCAGGCGCGCTACCTTTCTAAAAGTCGCCTACGCACAGTAGCGCAAGAGTATATATCAAACTCCAACAGTCCATGACGTTGACCTCGTAGCATCTCATTTTGCATCATCGTTGCAAAGAACAGATTCTCAACCATGGCGGAATCTAACAAAGCCGGATCCAAGGAATTCATCCAGCGCGATGTGAAAAAGTCCAGCCCGGCTGGCACACTCACCTTTCTTGGCCTTCGAGGCCTTGATCCGGTCCTTCAGTACAGCCTCCTCACCGGCGGTGGCGCTGCTCTCCTTGGCAACCTCGGAATCCCATCCATCTCTCCTGATGCCGTCGTTCACACCGGTATCCAGGCCATAGACGCTCTCGGTCTTCCGCTCCCACATCTAATCATCCTCGCCATGGCAGTTGGCTCTGCTGCTAAGCAGGGTTATTGGCTCGTCAAGCTGTCGGAGATATACTTCCCTCCCACTGCTGCCATAACTGTCAGCGTGTACAACAGCTTTGTCAACTCGGTCAACACGCTGCTCTTCGTCGCCGCCGCTACCAGCTCTACCAAGGCGCCCGCTTTCCCCGGGACCAGCATTCCATATCCGCTCGTGGTTGGGCCTGCCCTCTACACCGTCGGTATTGCCCTCGAGGTTGTGTCCGAGTATCAACGCAAGGTGTTCAAGGACAACCCGGCCAACAAGGGGAAGGTGATGCGAACGGGTCTATGGAACTGGGCACGACACATCAACTATGGCGGATATGCCCTCTGGCGCGGCGCTTACAGTTTTGCGTCGAGTGGACCAGTTGCTGGGCTTGTGATGGGCGGTGGACAGGCATGGGACTTTATCACCAGAGCCGTCCCATCTTTGAACAGGTACTGCAGTGAAAGATATGGTGAGCAGTGGGAGAGCTTCAAGAAGGATGTGAAGTGGACTGTCCTGCCAGGAATCTACTGAGCTGTTCACCGGAGGTGATGAGGAAGAATGGACACAGGATTCATCACATGAGTGGTTAGCAAAAAAAGTAACAAAACGGTATTCATATGGCTTATATGTACTCAACCAACTTGTAGTATCTATTTCATACACGTTGTATCCAACAAGCATCAACTCATAGGTAATTCATACAAACCAGGCAGACGCTCGCTATGCCGAGTCAGCGCTCCGGGTATAATGCATATGTCACAAACCAAATCCTCCTTTTACATCGAATCCTCCATCTGTCGACTCCTCGTCTTATTCCAGTTGTCTTGCTCCTGCTTGCCACCCTGGCTCTCGAGACCCATGCCCCTTTCCACCCACTCCTTGCTCTCCATGTGCCGCAGTCGACTCAGCGCTCTGGCAAAGGCAAAGGCTTCTTCTGATCCAGCAAAGAGATTCGAGTCCTTGAGGTTGTCCACATTGTGTTCCAAGTCGTTCTTGGCGGCCTCTGCAGCCTGGTCGTGTTTCAAGCCCTGCTTCATAAGGCTCTCGGCGATTTCGTCCCGGGAAACAAAGAGCTCAGTAAGGGGCTTCTCGGTGGTTAGGACCAGCTTAGCGTTACCCTCGTATATGACATCGATGAATGTGATGAATCGACGGGCAAGATCACGTTGCTGATGATTCATTGCGGGAATATCAGTGACGATGAAAGCCTCGTAGGCGCGGACCAGTTCGAGGTAGTCGGCAGCTGACTTTGGTTGTCGAATGAGCTCGTCAAAGGTGAACCAGGCTGCTCGCCCACTGACTCGGGGAACATAGATCTCGCGGCCCCAGACCTTCTGGATTTCTGGTCGAGGCTCAGGCTGCTCAGGGTCACCAAGGAATCGGAACCACTTCTCCGCATGGGCGTGAGCGTGGCTGTCGAGAGACGTATGATACACGTCGGAGGGTGGTCGGGGGATTTTACGGTAATCGGTTGGCGAATCGAGGTTGATGACATGTAGGCGGTTCTTAAGGAGATCAATGGCGGGGATGAAAGACTCTCGCTGGACACCGTTCTTGTACAGCTCGTCAGGGTGTCTGTTGGATGTTGTCACCAACACTACACCATGAGACATGAGGGATTCCAATAGTCTATCAGATGTTAGTATGCACCGGCTTGGACATGGATTTAAAACGCTTGCCTTCGCAGAATCATGGCATCTGCCACATCTGTGCACTGAAACTCGTCAAAGCAAAGCACGTTACCCTGCTGAGCAATTTCAGCTGTGATATATGGCACGGCGTCGATGTCGTTGCCATGCTCCATCTTGATGCGGTGCAACCTCTTGTGCACATCTTGCATGAAGTTGTTGAAGTGGATGCGGGTTTTCGTTTTCACAGATGCGGGCAAGGTCTCATAAAACAGGTCCATCAACATGGTCTTGCCGCATCCGACATCGCCATACAGATACAAGCCTCGGGGAAGGTTGTTGGGGATATCTCCAATAGCGGTCTTGCTTGGGCCCTTGCTAAAGAGCGACGAGAATACAGACTTCTTGGGCTCGGGCTTGAGAGATTCGATGCTTGGGTGCTTGACAGGCGGGGCGTTATAATGGCGCAGTTCCCCGTGGAGATTCTGAAGATTCTGAATGATACCTTTTACTCGATCAGCCAATGCCTCGCAGTTGTCCCTTCAAAATCCTCACCTCTTTGATGTTCGTCGTTTCGCAACTTGCCCACTTCCACTCGCCGATCGTACTCTGGAATTGGACCTCCGTCGTGGACAATGGGGTCCGCATCGACAACTGTAGCCATTGACCGAGATCGATTGGCGCACGACGTCGACAAACTGGCGCCCTGGATCGCAAGTCCTGACCGTTGCGTGCGGCAATATGGCAGCGACTTCAACGCCTGTGGCGCCGCGCTCGTCCGAAGGGCCCTCGCATACCGGCCGCCATCCGCCAACGGCCGGGAAAGCCGTAGTTGGCGGAGAGAGGCACTACACCTCGCACCACCGCGCATAATGTTCGATTTCGTGTCAGTTGGATGGGATTGGAGTCGCTGGTAACCGGTCGCTCGCGCGCATTACGGAGGAGGGGTCGGGATATGAAGGATGCAAGCCATGGAGAAAGCCCGCGAATTCGGTGTTGAGGCGATGACGATGTGGGCCGGGTTTAGAAGTGATTCCCGGCAATGTTGTTCCTAGATCCGAATAGTCCCGCCCGCAGTTTAAGCGCCCCAGTATATTGTGCCGAGGTCGACTAACGGGGGTTGTCGCTTATCAATCTGGTGATAATCAGGTCGACCTACCCTGGAGGAAGATTCGAGATGATCACGAGCTCCTGATCGCCCGTAAGCAATGGTCATGTGTCCTCACTTTCACATGATAAATATTCCATGTCCGCGATCCGTGTCACTTCTACATGGGGGCTTGATTTCCGAGTGATTTGGTGATGATGTAGTGCCGGAAGCTTCTGCAGAGTAAATGCATCTGACCGGCATGTTCCCCAGCTGCATCGGGGGATGTGCCGACAAATTGACAGGGAGGCATCATCTGATAAGTTTGTCGATACGAGCGAAGAAAGACAATGGCAGTGAAAGACTCTTAATCACAGGCCTAACCCAGCTTTTGAGATTGCAAATAACTGCCGATAAGTTTATCCATACATATCCAGCGTCTATGCTCGTTGTATCTCACGACTCAACATGGGGCTCTTCACATCCATTCACGACTACAACGTCTATCGACGGGTAGAACTAGCCGCCGTACATGGCACATATACAATGTGAGCATGAACGACAGCCAAGCTCAATTATCCCAATGCATACGCATGCTTAGTTCACGATGATCGAGTGCCATTCAAGTACAAGGGCAAAATGGCCCGATTGTGAGTGTATTATCTACAGGATTGTGGGCATTACGATTAAATGCCCAGCTAAATTAGTTCCCACTGCGCCTTTTCCAGCCTTGTAGGCATATCATTAATTTCATGTCGCATTCTTGAACCTTTCAAACCCACCGTTCAAGCCATGATGAGGGCAAGGCCGACAGCCAAAACACCCGCCAGAGGAGCACCGAGGGCACCAGCGGCGTTGTCCTTGTCATCACCATCCTTGCTCTCGTCGGAGTCCTTGTCGTCGCTGTCATTGCTGTCGCTGTCGTCGGAGTCCGCATCATCCTCGTCGACCAGTCTGCCGCCAAAGACGGCCCTGCCAGGGGTCACACCCGAGCTGAGCTTAGCAGCCTCCTTCTTGTAGTTGTCCAGAGTCGTGTTCTCGCCGGGGTTGATGATTCCGACCATGCCACCAGGGCACTCCTTACCCTGAGAGGAGTAGAAGGGAATGGGCTCAGTGTCGTTGACAGTGACCCGGAAGACTTGGTCCTAGATGGAGTTAGTTGCGCTGCATTTTGATAAGAGAATTGCCATTGACTTACAGCAGTGCCGTCATCAGTAGGAACGAAACCCGAGAAGAAACCAGTGCCGATATCGAGAGGAGAGCAAGGGTAGCGGTAGTCGCCAGCAACGACACTGTGGTTCTTGGGCTCGAAGTGGAATTCGATAATATCACCCTTCTCAGCCTTGATCGCATCGGGCTCGAACTTGTTGTCGCTGGAGGCGGTGACCTTGATGGTCTCGGCGCTGGCGAGGCAGGCCAGAGCAGCCGAAGCGAAGATGGTCTTGAAAGACGGCATGACGATAGCTGAAGTAGTGTAGCTTTGCTAAAATATGTCAAAGCGATGCGAAAATCGATGAGACTTCGGGAGGAGTTGACACTAGGCGCGCAGAGACGGGAAGTTTATTAGATGACAAGCAGATGGCAGCCACTGACGAGGGAAACTACGAGGTCAAATACAAGAAAGTGCATTGGTCAAGTGATAGTCACAGTTGCTCGGCAGCCCCTAATAAGGCTGTTTTTTCTTCTTCGTGCATGGGTTGGGTGGCAGCTATGCCGTGGGCTGATCTGAACCGGATGCAATGACGCAGTGAAACACGAGCCGAGATGCATGGACAGCGATGCAGTGCCCAACGTAGATGCCAAGAGCACTCCGCTAGACCATGATACAGGGAATTTTCATAGGAGGATGCTCGAGGCTGACAGACGTAGGAAAGGAGGATTCGCTCGGTTATTTGACTTGGTAAAAGATCCTGGTCCATAGTTTTGTTTAGTTAGTCCCCAGCAACGGGAACCGGGGCAACCAAGTATGGATCCACTAGCACAAGTTGGAACGTCGCCCAAATGGACTGAGAATGCATCTATCTATCAACAACTCCTATGCTGGCATCGTTACTTGTTACCCGAGCTGAGTCTCGGCGAAACAATAGCCTTGAGTCCCCAGGAAGAAGAAAGCAAAAAAACTTCTGTCTCGGGATTTTTTTTACGACCGAGAATCAGCAGCTTGCATTGTGGGGAGCGGCTGAGACCAGGCGAGATGAGCTGATGGAGACAAAGGGGACGGGGCGCCCAACCCTGTCGCTGATCCAACGGCTAACATTAGTTCGTGCGACTGGATTATTCATTGTACATAGTACATACATAGCATAGCAGTGCATGCTGCACAACCCGGACAACTCGCTGTTGTTTTACAACGTTACAGAGCCAACTTCCAGCACACCAAGGTGTACGCTCGAGCCGGGCCGAAGGGCTGTCATCAAGATGAGTCGCAAGTCCCACCGCTATTCCCGCAATGGAATAAACACTATTCTTTTTGAAGCAGCGGTGGGAATATTATGACTTGACCCATGTCCTTTTTGTTCGCCGAATTATCGGCTCCCACATCCCGACCTCAGAGCCGGTGTTCGTATTCAAAGCCGGACTCCGGCCGGATCCACTTTTCCGGCAGATGGGCACCGGCACTCCGTCCTCCTTCCGGGCCGACAATACCTCGGGTCCTTGATTTCCCCGGTGCGCTACCACAACCCGAAAAGAGGAAAAACACATGAAAGCCAGCAAAAGGCCCGTTCGCTGCGGATCCCTCGGCCGAGTCGCCAGACTACGTTTTGGAAGCGGGGATTTGGGACTTGAGGGCACTAGGGAGATGACGGCGCCGTCCATTGCTAAGGCCCGTAAATCAGACGCGGGTTCCTTTTTGAGCCGCACTTTAAAAATGAGCGATTCGACGTAGCCCTGACGTAAACATTCCATCACCGGGAATTGAGGAGTTGCAGCCGAGCTCAGGACTGAGTTTGCTGCTGGGAGTTTCAAAAGACCCAAGTTGAGGGGGATCATGAAGGACTTCATAAGAGGACACATCTTGATATAACATGTCACTTTTTTTGGTCGCCGTTAATCTCAAGTGTCTCCACGGGCTACAGCGAACTAGGACCAGCGCGGCTTCAACCAGGTACGTTTTAGCAAATCAAAGAGGCCCAGAGTGAAGTCGCAATGTTCCGTAGCGCCTCGGACCGACTCCTGTCCTCCCCGCGGGACAAAACACCAGTAGCAAATATTGCGATGCGCAGATTCGGTCGACGGAATAGGGAAACCTAGACGCCCAGAGTCGAAAAAAAGGTGAGGCGAGCTGGTATGCACATCATCTATTGCGTGCGGCAACAATCTGCATCACTTGGCGATCTGTTTGTGACTGGGCTCGCCTCGTTATCAATGTCTTACTTAGAGCAATTTCCCCCGTAGTGGCTTTCTGAAACGTGAGCACTTTGGACTTCAGGGACAATGTTTGAGGCGGTGCTTGGCTGTTTACCGTTGCATCCACACTCGCAGAATGTCTGTTGGTTGGAATTTCAAAGTCGTCTTGGCTTTGAAAGGCCCGCAGTGAAGGGAGAACAACATGTTGGTGGATGAGAGAACACACCCATTGCGGGGCGATGACTTACAACCACAATGAATCGAACAAAGAAGACACCTCTTGACTCGAGGTAAAGAATGACTGAACAGACACGACCATGCTCCTTGTGGCTTCTCATGTAAATGGCATTGATCTGTTCGGAGATCCTCCTTGCTAGAAATAGTGCAATTCATCAGTCAATAATCACAACTTATCATAGAGCAATAACCCAGTTGCAAGCACTCTGAAACCAACACAACTAAACGACATTAGAAACCAACCTAACAAATTCAACAAACAAAACGAAAGTAAAGCTTATAAAAATGGCGGAAGAATGCACCCGACGAACCCGTAAAAGGTATCTACGAACTCGAGCATCGGATAAGAACCCGACTCCCCCGTCGACGCAACCACATCAAACGATAGGTTCCGGCTCATGGCTCAGATCCAAGGTTCTGCCGGCCTTCTCGTCATGGTTCCAGCCCCACCGGATCTACAATCCAAAAGAATCGTTCTTCCCGTTCCCCAAGATCACGTTTCTTATTGATCGACCTCCAAAGTTGGAGTGCCAGATATGCCGTCAGGCCCACTGCGAGATCAAGTCAGATACAGCACCAGTTGACGACACGACCTTTAGCATTATGCCGTGCGGGCACGCAGCATGCTCACGGTGTCTCGACAAGTGGTTACGTAGACATGAGAGTTGTCCCTTTTGCCGGAGTTGCTTAAAATATCCGGGCTGCGGGCACAGCGTTCCGGCGAGACTATTGACAAAGGAGGGTTTACATCTCTTGCCACGAACACTCCCGGACCGGGGCTGGATCCCGCATCTCTGCGCGCAGTGCCTCCGCGAAAGCTTATTGAGTCAGGCGGAGGTGAGGTTCCGGCAGGCCACGCAAGAGTTTCGAGAGGCAAGACGGCGCTTCCACGAGACTGGGGCGGCGGCCGATGAGGATGTGCTGCTAGTGAAGCGGGAAGAGTTCGAGACGGTGCTGCGGGACGAAGTTTACCAAAGGCAGTTGAGCACGTGGTTGACAAGCTGGTAAAGTTTACTAACTGCAGACCGACTTTCAAGGATGGTAGGGTCGCGATGGCCCCCGCTGAGTTACATGAATATCATGCTCAATATCAGTCAAAGTATTTGATACTTGCCTCTGCAAAGATGGCTGTCAACCTGTCAATCCGCTCGAGTCAAGGAAGCCCCAGGTAAGCAAAAGGCCAAGAGGCCTGAGCGAGGCGGGACACGACGTTACACAGCTGCCACATGCTTTTTTCCGATTCACATCGGCCATGCCTATCGACCCGCAAAACCACGTTTTTCATCGTCATCCTGAGTCGTGCAACTGACGTGTAGGCTGCGTCCTCGTTGCGCATTGGTCTTGAAAAACCTCCGACAAACCATGCTCACCTGTGGTTGACGGCCCGACAGTTCAGCTCGTTCGGGTTCTGGTGGGCGATCTGTGGTGCATGAGCCTGAGTCGCTTCGGCGCCACAACCAGACCCTCGGAGTGTTGATGACTTGGCTGTGGGAGCTCTGATTGGACACAGTCCCTCGGTGTCTCGACGCCGCATTGCTGTGCCTTCTGACTTGAGGGGGCGAAACACGGATGTTTGTCGGAATTTGGAAGTTAACGGACCTGCAGGCAAGGGAGGGGATGGCTTGTACGGGCTGTAAGTCAAAGAAAGGAGGAGACAGGAGAGGAGAAGAGAGGGAGGAGACGCCGATAGTGGATGCCGGGGGAAAGAGGCGCAGTGACCCACCTTTAACGGCAGCTCCGCGGCCGGGGAAAGCCCGGGCAGGAGCGGGCAATAGCGGGTCATGTAAATCCACCAGGTCTGCTTTATCATGATGACCGACGTATTTTTTTCTGCCTCCCAGGTTGTTTTGGTGAATGGGCGTCGCCGACTGGCTACCGGGGTGATTACCGCCAAGACGTTACATGCTCCCAGATCCTCGGGATCAGGGGGGGAAGCGATGATGGCCAGAGATCTCGGGCAGCCCATGTATGATGCTCCTTATTTCGTTTGGTGGGTGTGATTTTTGACGCCTGTCCAAACAGCATCACCAACACCTGGGAGGCGGTCGACCAGCCCGATGCCCCGGCTCCCATCGCCATGGTCCCGGGAGCCAGTCCTAACGTGTAGTTAATTCTTTGTGGAGCAATTGGCTGGGACGCGCAGAGCACGAGCACCTGAATAATCTGACGCCGCCGCCCGCAGCCTGCTTTGATATGGAGTTGATGATGAGAAGAGATGAAAAAAGAGTGGAAAATCCCGGGTCAAATGCCGGCGCCGTAATCCACCGCCGGGACTTGAGAAGAATCGTCCGACCACACCTTTCCTTGTCTTACGTAGTGAAGACGTCGATAGGACAGACCGGCACTCACCAGTCTCACCTCTTTCGCCCTAGGACAAGCTTCGACGAGACCCTGAGCTCGTGGCCCCTCCTCCATGATATCCCATCTTGTCGATTGCCGCTCAGCTAGCGGGACGACTTGGGCAGCTCGTGACACTGATTGCCGCCCGCAGCCCGTGCCGGCGGTTTAGCTAATTACAGTAGCCTCTCTTGACCGAAGGCGTTTTAGTAGCTCGTAGCCTCTTTGCAATAATACCAGCAGAGATCCAACAATTCATTAGTTTCCCCCCTGGTGGTTATTGCGACAACTGGGCTTACAACCTCGGAGGGGCCCCGGTACCCAATCCAATGGTAGGTTGTGGCTGCTGGCCCCCTAATAAGGTCGAGTAAGAGTAAGACTCCCGTCGTGTCGGAAAGCCTCCCACCCCCAACGGCCGGCAAATGCCGTGTGGGGGCCGCCCATGGAATTGTCTGGATTCAGCCCCAAAAAATGCCCCCCCCCCGACCTGGTGTCCCAAACCCTTGGGAAGGTGCGTTCCAGGTGCACCTTCCGCCAAGATCGAGATTTCAGGTCCAGCTCCAGCCTGGACGTCGGTCGACAGAAGCTACAGGCACACATCCCAGGCGAGGCAGGCGCGTCCGCCATGACCGGGATCGTCTAGGCGTCTGCCCAACTCCTTGATCGGTGCCTTGCTACTACTGTAATGTACGGCAGCTGTAAAACACAACCTGGAACCTGCAGAAACAAGGGCGTCAACAGGTCACTTTTCACATTTCAACAAAATAAAAAACTCGCCTTCATCTTGAGCTCGCTGCATTCCTCTCGCTACCTACACCTTGCGCCCCTACTAGTGACTGCTCAACTACGCTGCACTGCACTGACTGCGCTGCGCTGCTTTCTTCTCTGAATCATGGGTACAACTCCACGTGCGTTACATTGCGTCCTTGTCCGCCTCGACGGCCTCTGCAACATTGACTGTTCGGTTGGTCCAGGCTCGGGCCTGTCTCGCCTTGCTCTGTTCCTTTTGTTTTGCTGATCCCGGCGTTCTCGATTCTGCACTGAATCGTTGGATGCTAAGCACTCGCTCTCTCCGTATGATCATGGTCCTGGTCATGGGTTACCTCCTCAACAATCACCCGAGCCCAGTCCTGGACCTCCCGCTCAGGCGTCGCGTCGTCGACGAGTTGATCAATCAGATCCAGCTCTGCATAACGCAGCATCGGGCTGCCGTCTTGGGCCATCACCAAACCGAATTACCGGGCGCCAGAGCTCTTGTCGTCGGATTTCATATTCGTTCCCCTGGCTGCGGGCGGCCGTGCATTCGTTAGCGGCATCACCGGCCTCTGGTCTTGATTTCCCTCAAAAAAAGTCCATCGACATATTCCCCAAAAGAAACAGACGGCGTCCGGCAAGGCACCCTAGCAAAGCTTAGCCTTTGTCCGGTAGCGTGGGGAATGGTGTCACCAGGGTCCTAGCTTGCAGCCAAAGGGATGCCTGTCTTGAGACCAAATCTCTCTCCAAGATGCCGACCGCTATGGCCGAATGATGAGAGGCGTTTACCGTCGAGCCAGGGAAGACGCTGCTGCGGCAGTCCACTCAACTCGTCCAAGTTGCTTCCTCTGGCCCTGTCCACTGTTGCGTTGCGCCCGCCGCGCGATTCAAGGAGCGGCGACAAGAGTCTTGCAGCTCGGTGTGTTTGGGAGGGCTTCAGACTTTCAAACCTTGAAGTCTCCATGACCCAACCTCAAGGATTCGCGGTTATGAGAGCGTGGTTCAGCTATGATCTTCGCCATAGCACACCCTGACTTACACCACCACCTTTACCGCCACAAGGGGCGAAACGGCTCACGCCAGCCCGTCTGGTTCTGCAGCGAGCGAGGTCCAAGAGAGAGGGTGTGCGGTGCGAAACCCTCTGTGCGGTGCATATCCCCGCCAGAGAGTGCCGACTGGGAGGAAGCGAATAATGTCGTCGCCGCCGGTGGGCTCTGTCCGACCACACGCCGAGGCCCGTTAAATCATTATTAGCACCGCCGGCTTGCAGCGCAGGACCTGCACCGGGCCTCGTTGCTCCCTGGCACCGGGACTCCGTCATTTCAGCTCCAACTCCGCTCGCTTCGCGTAAACTCAAAACTACCTAGCTACGTTGTGCCCAATTATGCCAGGCCTTTTCGCTGGCTGGCAACACGAAGCAGCTTTCCAGCTTGAGTTGTCGGTTACAGTACATATCTTACAGCTTTGGCTGGGCACAGCTGCTCCGGGTCTCGAAAAAAACGTGGTTTCATAGCTTTCCATACACTACACACACACACATCTACTAATCCAACCATCAGCCTTGCTGTACAGTACAGTACCAACCCTGACATCCACCCTGTCTATCTAGACACCTCTGCCACCCCCCCCTGGCTTGCATCCACGCCCTTACCACGCAATCGCAACGCAACTTCGTTCGCCTCCTTCAAAGGCAAGGAGATATTGGACAAGCTAAGCTGGCAACAGTTGCGGCACTCGTGCCGAGAGTGGCTTGCCTCGATTTCGTCCATGACGGGCGCCATGAGTTGGTGGCGCTGGGTGGCCGTCTTGCTGGGCCATCGGCCTCTACCTGGGCAGCGTTGGCTGCGCTGCTTCAACAGCTAGCTACGCCGTTTTCTTTGCAGCATGCACCAGGGTTCTAGTTACTGTACGGTGTCGTATGCTGTCTAGCCCGCGAATCTGCTCTTAGTGTAGCCCTGCAGGCCTTTGGACGCAACGGGCTGCCACTTGCACCGATGGTCTCGCATCCCCGCCGACTCGTCGGTTGTGGTGGTCCCAATAGGGCTGCCCCGTCCGTTCGATGGGGTTCTCCGGGCTAGGACGGGCCCTGGATTCCTGCAGAAGTATTCGATACTTATAGACCCCGGCGGCTCCTTTGCCATCTTCAAAGTGGTTGTCGCTCGCTGTGGCTGCCTTCGATTGTTGTGGCGGCCCTCCTCCCTCCCGGCTTCAAGAGCTTATCGTCGTCGTTTGGGCTCCTTGTAAAAATCCCGGAACTTATATGTCACTCCTCGCGCCCCATTCCCCTTTCGATAAAAGGAAAGGCGTCATCTGCCGGGCCTGTCTGCTTTTCGTCTGAACTCGTTCCAGCTTCATCATCCAGCTCCAGCTCAGCTCCAGCTTCATCGACCCTGCTCAGGGTTGGCCGGCCACCACCACCTTTGCGCTCCCCAAGCCAAGCCATTGCTCCGAGAATCGCAACCTGACCTAGATGCCCTCCATCCGTCGCGAAACTTCTATTACTTGTTCTGTCAAGTTACAAGACGGCTAAATGTCAACGCCGGCAGTATGTGGCCCGCCCTAGCCCAAACCTCAACCTTTCCCCTCGACCCTTGTTCCTAATCTTAGCATTTTCCTCTCCATAGCAAAAGGCCAATCTTGCCCGGATAAGAGACAACCAAAGGAGGTCGCGGGCTCGCAGAAGAGAGTATCTCCAGGAGCTCGAGCAACGACTTCGAGTCTATGAGCTCCAGGGCGTCGAGGCGTCCTCTGAAGTCCAGCAGGCCGCCAGGAGGGTGGCTGAGGAGAACCGTCAGCTCCGTGGTCTCCTCAACCGACACGGCATCACCGATGATTACATATCTAGTTACTTGCACACCGGCGGCGCGGCAGCCCAGACCGACCCGACGCCAATCCCCCACTTCCCCTCGAGCAACCCCAGCGACGCTGTTCAGTCTCTCCAGCACGTTATAGCGCCCAGGAGACCTGCTCCTCTCGATCCCGGTGTCTCCTATGTTGTGCCGCCGCAAGAGAGTCGCGAAACCTCCATTGCTAGCGTCTCGACGAGCAGCTCCTCCCTGTGGGAGCCAGGGCAAGCTATTCAACCCGGTCCAGCATACGGCCGGCCTCTCCCCTCCAACGTTCCCACCCCAATAGGACGGCAATCGATATCGTCCCAGATGCACCCACACCAATACGCCGCGCAGGTGTTTCCTGGCACTCAAGTACCGCGCACTGAAACCTACCACCCGGTGGCTGCACCTGGATCTTTGCTTGAGGATCCGAGGCGGCACAGTTATTCTGTGGCACCTATGCCCGGGGATGCCTCATCAACTTTGGGCTACGCTATCCCCATGAACCCATTTCACAGCCCCGTTGGACCAGACCCTGGGCCTTCAGGACCGTGTTGACTGAATTAGGGGCCTTCAAGGAGCTTGAGTCTGGCCTAGAAATCTACGGCTTGAAACTTGCTCGAGGTCCATATCAAGGGCGGTTAGCAACTCCTCCCACCTCGGGCAGGCTGTTCGAGGTGGGAGGGGAGTTATGCTAATCTCTGTGGAATAACTCGATCGATGCGGGACCTCATGTCGATGACGCTTCCGGCTGGTATCGACGGTTCTAGGAGAAAGGCACCAAGGACGATCTACGGGACAGAAGAGGGTTTGCCTGATTCGCGCTCGACCTAAAACTGGCTTTGTTGGCATCTAGGCTCCCCGAATTCCGACGACAATACTCCATGAGGACAACGAACAACTGGACCGGGAAGACTCTTCGAGCGTAACTGACCAACCTGGCCATGTTTCATTCGCAGACGTGAAGGCCAAAATCCAAATACTTTGTTGCGCAATGCCCCGGAGAACAAATCGACAAGATCAGACATGAAAGGAACCGAATCCCTTGTCCCGGTAGATACAAAGTTCAAAGAACATGCACCAGGCCACTTGTGTATTGTTCAGGACCTGGCTTTGATGATGCAAAACCTGGCAACAAAGGGATATCAGTTCTGGTTTGCCTTTGCTGAGTATTTGTTCAAGAGATCCGCGAGATGGATACGAGAACTGCAAACTTCAAGCGTTTGCTATTTCAACTATCACTTATCGCAATCTACAACAACAGCTAGAAAGATGCCTCGATTTAGCAACGGGCGAGAGGGATCAGCGAAGAAGATTGGGAACCTCGGAAAGGTCACATCGAATCTACCTGCCCCTGAGTGGAGGCATGAACAAGCACATATACTTCTCAGTGAAAACACACCGAATAGCACCGAACAGCCTTGGGACATGGCACCACGAGTATATAACGCCCCAAAATCTACCAAGCGCAAATCTCCTCCCGAAACTTTGAATCTTCCTCCCGCGGCCAAAGGACGAAAGCTCGACGAGAGAGGCCCAGTCAAGCGCAGACGCAGCATACCTTTGACTTCGCCAGCCAGTGGTGTTCCACAGGTCAAGCTCTTGCTTGCCACTCCGCCATCGACGCCAACGTCCCCAAGACCAAAGACTCCGCCCAGACACGATCGGTCTCGACTGCATCCGAAGTGGCGCCGCAAGAGAAGAAGTGCGCCCTTGTTTGGCGTGTTTGGCGCTTTTCTGGATCTAGAGGCAAGAACTCGAAGAGAGAAGACAGTGTGAGCAGTCTCACATCGAGTGTTGCTGGGGTTGAGCACTATGCTTACATCGTATGAAGTGGATGGAAAGGAGATGGAGCGGGCGCAGCTGGAACCAGTTGGTTCCAGCAAACTGCTAAATCCCAGACCGTCGCTTCGACGTGTGCGGAGGCGGATATTCAAGGTGGGAGGTGAGGCGCTTTCACTGGTAAATAAGGGGCACAAGACTGACCGTTGTGCAAAGCTGCAACCCAGACAAGACGCTGGAGAACACTCTGCCACAACCAGGAGGGAAGACAGCATGCTGGAACCCAAACAGGGCGCGAAAGATTGGACTGGTCACAAGAGTCAGATGCACTCCCGGGCTGCCTCTGATTTGGTGCGGAATACCAGCACGAAGGCCTCTAGCACGGTCGAGGATGACGCAGGAGACCTGCTTGCCTACAAGCTCTTGAGGATAGTCCCCTTTGCATCCCGATCTATGACGCTACCTGCCGATGCTGAGTTTAGCATTGCCGACGTCGAGAAGGCAGTCGACGTCCTCACCACCATATCCAACATGTGCGACACCATCTCTGGACAGCCCAGGGCGGACATGCGAACCAAGTTGCATGACGAGCTTGTTAAACTGCCTAAGCTCTTGACCCGTGAGGGCCGGGACAAGCAGCCCAAGATGGCAGCGCGTTTCCAGGAGTTGGTATACCGCCATCCTGATTCTGGGAGGTGGGGGCCGATTGAGAGCTTTGAGAAGTTGGGCGATGATATCATGGGATTGACGTTGTTTCGGGCGCGATCCAGGGCCTCACCGAAGCAGAGACACCCTGGCGTATTTGAAGTATGAGACAACTCGGTGTGAGTTGGGCATACCTGGTTAGGCACAGAGAGGGAGAAGAGAGAGACTGCATGGATGGATCGCATTGATGAGCATTTGGATGGCGTACAACGATACCCCCCATTTTACTCAGGTAGTAAAAAGATAACAAAATCTTGCATTTCACGAAACTCCGTTCCCATCCGTGACCCAAGACCTGGTAACTAACGTAGTAATCCTTGATACAAAGCCCGCCATGCGTCTGAAAGAAGAAAGTACAGTAGAACAAGGCATCCATCGAAATGAAAGGTTGCAACAAAGAAGAGATTGGATATCTGACATTGAATCAAAGGAAGTAGTCCGCTACTGGCTTCTTGGCCGGCATGCCTCTAGAATCCTGCGGCGCGGCCTGAAAGACACGGTAGCGCCTTGCAGGACCTTCCCTGGGCGGTAAGCTGCCCTCTACCATGACACCGCCATCGCTGCGGCCGACATCGCCGTTGCTGCGGGCAAACAGTCCCATGCCAGAATTGTCCTCGGTCAGCTCCAGAACGGCAGCGACGTTGCCGCACCGGTAGCAGTAATTGGGGGCTGACCAGACGGTGACAATACTTGCGTCAAACATCTCCTTGAATCCTTCCATGACGAGTTGATGGGCGCGGGCGATGAGACTGAGATCGTTGCGGTGGTTGAAGACTTTGACGATGTCGGCGCCAAATAGGAAGCCTGCGCCTCGCGGGGAGAGACCCCAACCATCAATCTCATCAGGATCTGACCAAAGGATGTCGCACATGGCACCCTCGTGAGGGACCTCCTGCTTCCGGTCTATTAGACGAATTTTATCGACAGTGTCCACCAAGGGACTCAAGCCGCCGTGAACACAGAGAACGGCGCCAGCCAAGTTTCCAACAGAGCCGCCGCTGGAGCCAGAGGCGCCTGAACCTGGAGGACCCGTCTTGTCCATCGTCGTGCCCCCTGGACTTTGCGCTTGCTCCTGTGAGCTCTCTCCAGGCTTGCGCCGCGGGAACCTGCTCATGATGGAGCCATTCTGGTCGCAAACTTCGATTTCGGTGTCGTCGTCGACAGGCTCGTCAGGCGACAGGGTGTTTGACGCGCCTAGTACCAGCGCGCCAAGAGCAAGGTAGTCGAATACATCACAACAATACCGCCAAACATTTGCGCTGCCATACTTTCTTATGCATTCGTCGTAAAAACCGTACACGGTGGTGATCTGTCGGGACTCGTGATTGCCGCGGATGAGCGTCATTCTGTCAGGATATCGGACCTTGAGGCAAAGTAGAAGGAGAAACGACTCTAGTGAGTAGAAACCACGGTCGACAAAGTCGCCTGCGCAAAGAAAACATGGTCAGAGATGCGGCTCGGAGCGAGAACGGAGGGAGGTGCTCGGCCTACCCATGAAGAGGTAGTTTGTGTCTGGGACGTCGCCTCCCACTCTAAACAGCTCCATCAGGTCGTGGAATTGGCCATGAATATCACCGCATATCTGGATCTGGGCATCAGCCATGGCTCCGAGCATCACAAGCCTCGGGTGGAGGTGGCGCATACCGTTACCGGCGCCATCACAGTGGTGACGTTTCCTTCCTCAATGAGAAGCTCCCGCGCCTTGTGGCAGATCTCGCGGACCTGGGCTTCTGGGATCGGTCGACATGAGCGTAACTGCGCGATCGCCCTGAGGTCGGCGTTAGCTGGCGGATCCAAGTATGATCGGCGGCGGCCTTGGTGAGCCTCACTTGTCGAGGTCGCTCATGATTGCAAGGGTGGGTGGGCGTGCGATTTGCGCGCCGGTGGGAGATGCTGGATCGTGTAGGAACGTATGCTCATAACATGTCGTGGGAGAGAGAGCAACGTTGGGCGATCTCGCGCAAGATAACGAAATAACTAACGGCGCGGGGAAGAAAAGCCGGTCGCGTGTGTTGGAGATGGAAATTGGGGAAATGGCCCTGGCTTGGTCGGACTTCGCGATTGATTCGCGCTGGCGGGTGATGCCGTGAATGGGAGGTGGAGCCGAAATAGGTTGCATCTTCAATCTTGTGCCCCGCCACACGGGGCGCAAAAAGTCGAAGAAACCGGATTTACGTAAAGCCGCGCCCGGCAGGAACCCGCAAAGCCGGTAGCCAATGGGAGCCCCACGATATCTCAGGCTTGGGTGAGCAGCTTCGCTATTTCTCGACACCACCACAAATCCCTCGACTCCGCCGACTCGCCGACCCGGTCACTACGCGTCGGGAGGACGATGCTACCGTCGCCTTGTGAGTCCAATGGCACCCGGAGCTCGCAAAAACCCACGCTGACGGTCAATTGAGACCACTAGAGTTCCCTCACCCGAACCTCACTCTTTGGATCCGGGATCATGCCACCCGTTCTTCACCCCAAATCGCGGATGACGTCGTCGCTCTTCGCAACGACCGTCGCCGCATGCTTCCTCGTCGTCACGATGCCGCATCTACTTCCCTGCCCAGTACCACGGGCCCGATTCGCCGACGGAGAAATCATGGTTGACGAGAACGGCCGGCGGATGCGATGGAAGAAGAAGGACAGCACACCCAAGGTGGAGGACGGCATTGTGCAGTTCAACGACATGTCGGCCGAGGACGTTCAACAAGGGAAGGACCGAGTGCGGAGGGAGTGTCCTGTACCAAAGCCCGGAGGTATGCTTGGCGAGTGGTTGGGTTTCCACAAGAGCGAGAGCGAGATCGAGACCAGAGCTGGTCGGTGATGGACCATATTATCGACCCGACCCGAACGACTCCAACGGAGAATACGATCGAGACCTCCTATGACCGTTGGATACCGCTACCTATACCCCCGAAAAGCCGCAATTCATCGTTCAGACAGGCGTCGCTCGATCGTACCATATTCTCTCGACACGGAGGAGAACTCGACTACCCCATGCTGGGTGCCACGTTGCAGAAGACTCTGGAGGGCCACCGATGCATTTTTGAAAGAGGAGTGCAAGATTCTGAATAGCAGTGGTTCACAATGATCGTGCGGGAGATTCCCTTGTGGCCTCATACGGCCAATTCTTCAGGCCCTAGAGGCCAACGTTGCTGTAAATCACATGCCGAATGTATAGTTAGCTGTGTCTATGGACTGGAAAAAAGAAATAACAAACAGAGAATAATTGTACATTCTGATTAGAATTGTCCGCAATTCGTGTCACAATGGCATTGAGACTGAGTCACTTTGTCAATCCGGAGACACGGAACGGTGGAGTCGTGCAACCAGGTTTGTGCCAAGAGGAAATGTTTCGATGGGGTCATTTTAACCAAGCTTTCATTGGACGGTGTCTCGTCCGCGTAAACTTTTACTACGTGCGAGTTGAGTTCTTGCCAGAATCCGGCCAGATATGAATAACTATGAAGACTGAGTTGTTAAGCATTAGAATAGCTGTCTTTTGACACCTAGATTTATACAAGTTGCATCTTGCTGATTGTTGCCTTTCTGTTACGAAGTACATGGCATGTATTGCCAAATGAACTTTGCAAACATGTCCGTGGAGTGAATTCTTATCAATATCCATGCCGTATTGATGGTATTTGTGAAACCATTCTGTCGAATAAGCAAATTGTATAATATGCCCCGTGCATCAACCCCATCTTTTGCATTCGTTGTTCCTGAACTGGCCAGCTTTCCGGCAAATCAAATGGTGGAGTTCAGATGGATGCAGCCTACAAGGACTGTAATCTCAAAAGAAAAGAAAGATTCATACTTGAAACCGTGCAACATACTGCAACGTGGCTGCGAGCATCAGATAAAGGGATATTGATGCTGAGACAGATGAAGTCCATTGCAGATGTTGTGGAGCCATAGGACCACCAGTCGCGTGATGTCGTTAGACGCTCCTCCGTAGGTGCCGGTATAATTAGAAGCTGTGTTCGTCGTGTCAGATGCTGTTACAGCCGCAGCAGGGAGGCAGCCCACATGCCTCTCTGCGCCTGGGCATGTAGGCAGGGCGACAGGCTGACCGACCGCATCAAGAAATGACTTTTTTTTGGAAATGCATTCTGTGATGTGGTGCAGCATGAATGGCAGGAAGACTCTTCCCTGCGGTACGTAGCAAAAACAATGGATTCTTGAAAATTGTTGAGTCGATATGATCGATGATCTCATTCCGCCTGATAGAAACCGGCCGAGGCACTCTTCACGGAAGCGGCATCTACCTTGACCTTGGCAATGACGATGGGCTTTAGCGCTTTAAGCTTAGGCAGTGGAGGCCCCGTGAGGTCCAAGATGCCCCCTGACCCAATGGCCTGTGGCCTTCTCACCCGCTGAACGCCAGTGGGTGACGGCCCGCACAGACCAACTACAGAAGCCCGCCCACCCGCGTGTCCTAGGGGCCCGGACCCATTCAAGCGCCGCCACAGAAACGGTATCCGCGGACCACAGGCAGGCAGGTTTATTGGAGCTGAATCTCCCGTCTCATCGTTGAGCTCAAACCGTTGACGGTCCCGTCGATTTCTCCGCAACTCAAAAAAAAAGCCCTTCCTCCCCTCCTCGTGCCACAGAGACAGAGAGGCTCAGGCTCGGTGCTCTCGATCGCTTCAACAATCCCCATCGCGTTCGCCGGCTTTGCCGCGCTCCAAGCGGTCGATTGCCATGCCCCTTTGGCCTGAGTGCGTCCTGCGATCGCCCTCGCCGGCTCCAATATCCGGCTGAACCACTTCTCGATCGTGCCCAACAGACAAAGCCCTCCCAAGGCCATGACTTCCCCCTCTCCCCCGCGAACCGGCACACTCTACGACTCGCCCCGTACGCATGATTCTGGACGTACTCTGAGCAGCTCTCTCGATAGTCGAACTCCTCGTCTGCGTCCTCCCCGCTCTCTTCCACGTAAGCGCCCCTTTCGCGCCCGCGCACACGACCAACCCAACCCGTGTCATCCCGCGTGACTTTTGAGCCCAAGCTGAACTTGACAATAGCCTGGATCGATTCGTACGAAGAGAAGCACGGTTCCGTGAGCGACGACCAGCTACGACTACTTCATCCTCCTTTGCGCGCCGTTCAACCTCAGCACAACTCATCTCCGAGTGACCCACAACGACGAGTATCGAAGGATGGCTTCATAGATCCGGATGACCCCCTCGCGGGACAAGGCCAGGGAACGAGGGGGAAAATTCCTCATATACTGCGCTATGGGCGCGCGTCGATGCGCGGAAGGAAATGGGACCACCTCAGGTCGGCAGAGCCCGTCATTGTCGCGGGCTACAAACCCGCCATGACGGCGCAGCCGCCGAGCATAGCATGGACGGATTTTGTGCACTCGTCGGCCTGGGGCCGCATGCCCAACGAGGAGTCCAAGGTCGTCGACATGGAGGCTATGAGGGGTCTTCAACCGAGCTTTAACGACCCGGCACGGCAGCCTTATAACGCCTTGGAAGCTCGGATATCGCGCAAGAAGAGGACATTGGGTCCATATAAACGGTTATGGTATTTGGCTACACGGCATTCTCTTGCTCCACTAATGTTTCGACTGACCGTCATGGTCACCTCTATTATTGCCCTTGCGATAGCAGCACGGATTCACAAACTCGAAGATGTCGATAGTTCAGGCACCGCCGAGGAGACGCAGTCTGTTGTCGCTGTTGCTGTGGACTGCGTGGCTATCCCATACATTGGCTACATGATTTGGGACGAGTACACTGGAAAGCCCTTGGGTCTGCGGTCTGTTGTTTCCAAGATCTCGTTGATCTTGCTAGACCTCTTTTTCATCATCTTCAAGTCGGCGAGCACGGCGCTCGCATTCGAGAGCCTCGTCTACCATAACTTGACAGACACCGCGGTGCGGAACCTGTCCAAGGCTCTGGCAGCATTCATGCTGATAGGGTTGATGGCTTGGACCATGAACTTTGCAGTAAACATATTTCGGACGGTTGAGCGTCTCGGCGGAGGAGAAGACGACGGCGCACATGGTTAGGAAAGGCTTGGGAGTGACTCTTTGTTTTTGGAATACCCCCTTCTGCAGGGAATGTTTTTTGTGTTGGCTCCTGGGAATATGTTATCGCGCGTATAAAGACGCGCGAAGCGTTCATTGTATTATCTTACATACTACACTATATCTCTTAGCGTCACGGAATAAAAGATGTAAATACTATTCATAATAAGAAACTGTTTGAAGCAAGGAGATGCTACGATGTGTGATGGTCCAGCTGTAGTCAAATATGAGCTACCTACCTGGCTCATATTCCTTTGTTGAGCTGCTTACTGTATTGCAGTTTGGCTGCCTAGTGAGGCTTTCGGGATCATTGTCTTGAAAAGTAACACACCTGCTTGCCCTTGAATGAACTCCTTTTTGAGGGTGCAATCTTGGGCTCGTCTGCAAGATTGATCTTTGTTGCTAGACTAGGAATTAAAGCGCCTTTATTGTCGATTGATATGAATGGCATGAATGGTTCCTGAGTTGATGGAGACAATGAGCTCCTGTGGCGCAGGCGGCTAAGATTGAGATTGATGCTCTGAAGGCAGCCGCCCCCAGGCGCCAGCTCCAGGGGACCCTGTCATCGGAGCCGTCCCAGCCTCAGCCTAGGGCGGTAAGCCACGGCAGAACCCGCAGCTAGTCCATTTTCAGCCGACCTGGTCCCGCTCTGCCTGCCTGTTGGCCTTGCCTCAGCCAACACATGGATGAGACCAGCCAGCTCCGGTCTGACTGCCTGATCTCTTCCACCGTCTCGTCTACCTGCCTTGGCTACTTTACCTCCATTTCTCGACACTAACTTTCGGCATCATTCTGACCTTTTTCTTTTCTTTTATGACTCAACTGGTCTGAGGTCTCAGTCGTCCACCTATTTCTAGTTCTGTTGTTGACCAAAATCACCCCCGACAAAGCCCTCCCTCCCTCCATTCATCCCAAGGCGCCCGTTCTCGACCTCACTCTTAGTGTCGTCCGAGTAGCTCGACTCAGCCTTGACGAACTGGTCGACAAGCCCACGAGCGTCTGCACCGCCCTCGTTACCCACCCTGGGTCTTTGCGCCTCTGGCACAGCTCTGAGGCTCTTGCTCCGTGAAGCATCTCGACCCCAGCGCGACTCTGACGACATCGCGTCGGACCCCTCGATCCTGACCCCGCCTCCGACAACACCTCCGTTAAGCCGCCATCCCCATCTGCCCGTCAGCGCATGATGGCTGCAAAGATGGCTGCCCCGACCCAGATGCCTCCCATACCTAATAGGGAGGACATTGGGGCGACGTGAGTTGCTCTATCGTGCGCACCTGGAGTCTGGAAGCTGACCTTGATAGATGGACCTACCTCCAGGCAGGCATTTCTCGCGTCATGAACGATCTCGAGCAAGGTATCGATATGCAAATGTATATGGGTGTCTACACGTGCGTCACGCTCCGCGATAGCTTCCACGAGGATTATGCTAACGCTATGCAGTGCCGTCCACAACTTCTGCACATCACAAAAGGCTGTTGGTATGAATGGACCGGCCATGCAATCTAACCACCGAGGAGGTGATAAGCCTACGCGCGTACACTCGCTGAGACCGAAATGCTAACAGTTCGCTAGCTCATCTGCTTGGTGAGGAATTGTACAACAAACTGATTGATTATCTGAAACAGCACCTCGAGGGTCTCGTGAACCAGAGCAAAGCGCACACCGACGAGGCACTTCTCACATTCTACATCAAGGAATGGGGTCGGTACACCGTTGCCGCCAAGTATATCCATCATCTTTTCCGCTATCTGAACCGCCACTGGGTCAAGAGAGAGATCGATGAGGGCAAGAAGAACATCTACGATGTCTACACACTACACTTGGTACAATGGAGAAGGGTGTTGTTCGAACAAGTCAGTTCCAAGGTTATGGATGCAGTCCTGAAGCTCGTTGAGAAGCAACGAAACGGCGAGACCATTGAACATGGTCAGATCAAGCAGGTTGTGGATTCCTTTGTGTCTCTAGGACTCGACGAGGCCGACCCCTCCAAGTCGACACTTGATGTCTACCGCTTCCACTTTGAACGTCCTTTCCTCACCGCAACCAAGGAATTCTACCTGGCCGAGTCGAAGCAGTTTGTGTCGGAAAACAGCATTGTGGAGTACATGAAGAAGGCAGAGACTCGCCTGGACGAAGAAGAGGAGCGCGTGCGTATGTACCTGCATCAGGACATAGCAATTCCTCTGAAGAAGACTTGCAATCAAGCTCTGATTGCCGATCACTCGACACTACTCCGCGACGAATTCCAAGTCCTCCTGGATAACGACCGAGAGGAGGACATGGCGAGAATGTATGGCCTACTCTCTCGAATCCCCGACGGCCTGGACCCACTGCGCTCTAAGTTTGAGACGCACGTGAGGAAAGCTGGCCTGGCGGCTGTGCAAAAGATTCAGTCTTCGGAGGGCGACAAGTTGGAACCCAAGGTCTATGTCGATGCTCTGCTGGAGATCCACACACAGTACCAAGGGTTGGTCAAGAGAGCCTTCACCGATGAGCCAGAGTTCACACGCTCCCTTGACAATGCCTGCAGGGAGTTTGTGAACAGGAACGAAGTCTGCAAGGCCGGCTCCAACAAGTCACCTGAACTGCTCGCCAAGTACACGGACGTGCTACTTCGAAAGAGCAGCACTAGTATTGAGGAGGCTGAGTTGGAGCGTACCTTGGGCCAGATCATGACCGTGTTCAAGTACATTGAGGACAAGGATGTCTTCCAAAAGTTCTACTCCCGAATGCTTGCTCGCCGTCTCGTGCACAGCAACTCGTCTTCGGACGACGCTGAGACGAGCATGATCAGCAAGCTCAAGGAGGCCTGTGGTTTCGAGTACACCAACAAGCTCCAGCGCATGTTCCAGGACATGCAGATTTCCAAGGACTTGAACAAGGAGTTTAGAGATCATCTCGAGGGGGTTGAGTACACCAAGTCGGTTGATTCGGCCTTCTCCATCCTAGGAACGGGCTTCTGGCCGTTGACTGCTCCTAGCACCGACTTTACACCGCCTCCTGAGATTGCGGCTGAAATCGAGCGCTTCATCCGCTTCTACAAGCACAAGCATGACGGTCGCAAGCTCACATGGTTGTGGCACCTCTGCAAGGGCGAGATTAAGGCTGGCTACTGCAAGGCCAGTAAGACACCCTACACGTTCCAGGTATCGATTTACCAGATGGCCATTCTCCTTCTCTTCAATGAGAAGGATAACTACAGCTATGAGGACATGCTCAGCGCAACTCAGCTCAGCAGCGAGGTGCTGGACCAGGCACTTGCTGTTATCCTCAAGGCCAAGGTGCTCATCATGTCTGGCCCTACTGGTGAGAAGCCGAAGCCGGGCAAGACGTTCCGTCTCAACTATGACTTCAAGAGCAAGAAGATTCGAGTAAACCTCAACTTGGGTGGAATCAAGGAGGCTAAGCAAGAGGAAGCCGAGACCAACAAGACGATTGAGGAAGACCGAAAGCTTGTTCTCCAGGTATGTATCTTTCTGTCCCCTATTCTCTTGCAACAGATTTGTGCTAACGTATTCACAGTCGGCCATTGTTCGAATCATGAAGGCACGAAAGAAGATGAAGCACACCCAACTTGTCAGCGAGACCATCAACCAGATCCGATCTCGCTTCGTGCCCAAGGTCAGCGACATCAAGAAGTGCATCGAGATTCTCCTCGACAAGGAGTATCTGGAGCGCCTGGACGACGACGAGCTTGGATACCTGGCTTAAAGTCTCGTCGACGAACAAGATGGTGCCGTGGCCAAGGCATTAGACCCACTCGACTCGCCCATATCACGTCCTTTTTCACGCTCATCTTAGTATTACTCCCTGAAGGCATGAGTGCCTGGGTATATCGGTGGTCATGAAGGACTACTTACTTCTCATTTTCATCTCTTTTTCTTGTTTCCTTGAGCGGCTGGCAATGGTCATGATATGATGGGCAGCGATGATGAGGACGGGTTAAACAACTAGATAGTCGGCATGAGATATGCACGCGCAAACAAACAATGGGATACAGCCCCCTTTTCCATTGACTCGTCCATTTATCAATCTATGGATGGATGTTTGCTCTGCAGCACTTTTGTTCTTTATCGTTTTGAGTTTCTTCATGATGACTATTGGGGGGTTAAACTCGGTTGAAAGGAAAGGAAAGGGGTTGGTTTTTGGGTGATCTGGGAGTGTGTACGGCATGTCGCAAGTTAAAAAAAGGGACGGATGGATGGATGGATGGATGAACTTGCCAATGATACAGGCAGGGGAAAAGAACAGGGCATGTTTCAAGACTAGACTCTTTTCCAAAGACGGTTCTCGAGGCGTTCTCGTGAGATTGATATTTGTGAATTGACTCGGATGAATTACGCCTCCCAGTTTCGTCCAATATATAGTGCGCTAACTAACACGGCTGACCTATCCTATCTAGCTATATCATGACATTGCCCCTTTACAATTGGCTCATCATCTTTTTTTCATCTTTGTTCAAACATGTTGCCGTCAATCCTTGGTCGTAATCCCATTCTCGCCTGGAAGGGGCTTCACATCGGACGTCTTGTCCCTCGAGCCCCTGACACCCTCGGTCTGGAAGCCGTCCTCATCCTTATCCGGCACTGGAGGGCCCGGTAGAGGCTTGGACACTGCTGCAGTGTCAGGCCGGCCGGGTGAGTCGCTCACGCCGGAGAGAATGCTCTCGCTGAAGCTCGCACCTGTACCCGGTCGCCCCGTAGCGTCATCCGAGCTACCCCCTCGCGAAACGGGGGCGCTTATCATTTGATAGTCCTTCTCGATGGGGCTGCCCGACCTTGATGAGTCGGTGGGCTTAGAGGTCGTCTTGCGTCCCCAGCCAGCACCCCAACCGCTGGTCCGGCGCTTCTCACCAGCCCAGGCCGCCCAGCTGCCGATGTAGGCGCCTGCCCTGGCGCCAGCCGACTGAACCGACTGTTGGGCTCTTCCCCCGTCGTATCCAGCAGGGGGTGCAGAAGGTGTGCTATCCGCTGGGGGTGATGCTGTGCGGGCCTCCTCTGCGCGGCGACGCTGGGCTTCACGGAGGGCCTCCATGTCCGAGTACAGCTTGTTGAGGACGAATGAGGCCTTTTCACGGCCAGCGGCAAAGTTGCGGCCAAGGACCTCGCGGCCCTGAGCAAAGCGCTCATCGAGGTGCAGCTCCTTGACCTGCTCTGCGATGCGGCGCTGAACATCCTCAATGTTGAGCCCTCCAGCGCAAGGATGACGAGGGTCGACAATGTCAAAGAGGTGAGAATCAGTGTTTGCGTTCCACATGCGGTAGTTCTCAGTGCGCTTCCAGGCCTCTACCCAGTCATGGCCAAAGTCCAAGATGGGATCTCCCTCAACCTCTGGGAGGATGGCACGTGGATTGTTGGGGTTGGCGGCGAGGTAGTTGTGGTACTTGACCGATGAGATGAGGGCGAGGATGTACTCTTCAAACTGAAGTCTGATAAACTCCTCACTGCCCACGTACTTCATAGTCTTGGGCCTGCTGGGATTGGCCTCATCCCACGTCTCATTAATCTCGTGAGTCAGATAGTCTATCCACCTCCTATCTGCGGCTGTGAGAGTCAGGGCGCGACTGAGGGACTGTGAGTTGATGGTGACTGAGTCTTCATCCAGATTGATGAGAATATCGCTATAGCGATCCTTTTGCTGAAGGAGGAGCGAGTTGGTGCTTCCGACGATATAGGATTTGGTGCCAAAGTCTGCAAGGATATCGAGTTGTTGCAGAGGCGTATAAGGGCCGAACAAGCTCCCCTAGTCACGAATGTTAGAGAGTCTCACGAGTCAAGCTGGTTTTCCAAGTGCGGACCTTGCCAAAGATTTGTAGGGGGAGACCCATGTAGCACAGAAGAGAGTTGCGATCACTAGTACGCAAGCTGGTGGGCTTGGTGAGGCTCTTCTCATAACTGTTTAGTTCTGGGTCTGCGCTGTCCTGGAGGTTGCGGATGAGGCCGGGTATCAAGGACAAAAGAGAAAATTGCATCATGCACAACCGATCACACTTCGAGCCAAAGAAGAGCATCTAGACCATGGTCAGTTTTTGCATGCATCAACTCGAACAGGGGGCAGTCGCACCTTGGGTTGGAGGAGACAGCACTTGAGCAGAACTAGTGTTTGCCACTTGAACTCGTGGATCAGCTCCCGGAGACTCATGCCCAGGTACTGGTCCCGGTCGATAGAGTCGTTCAGCAGGCCCCTCGCCTTCTCGTCGGCCAGGCTCTCCTGGAAGCGGCGGAGGATCTCGACGTCGGTGAACTCGCGCTGGGCGAACCAGGCCTGGGTGACGACGCTCAGGCGTTCGCGGAGCATGCCAAAGAACTGGGGGCTGTCGGCGATGACCACGACGGCCTTTTGCACCGTGGACCGGGTCACGTCGGCGGGACGGTTGATGAGCTGGGACGAGTCGAGCTGGCGGGTGCACGAGATGCCGAATAGCGACGTGGCGGGCTTCTCGTCCGTCTCTGGGCGAAGCAGTGTAAAGTATGAAAAGTCCTCCTCGGATCTGTGACGTCTCAGCAACCCTCATCTCCTTCCCAACAAGATAACAGAGACTCACGCGTGCGCGCCATCGCTCAGGGCCATGAACGGCAGCAGCGTCCAGTTATAGTCGACGGCTGGATCACTCCCCTCATCGGCGCCAAACCATGCCTCCACCTCGGGGCCCCTGGCATGGTGGAATCCTACAACGGTGACGAGCGGGACAAAGTCGGACTTTGCAGGCGATGCGGGCGACGAGGGGATGATGGGCGACAGGACGGGCTTGAGGTCGTCATTGGAATCGGGGGCCCCGAGGCCGCTGGCGGGGGACGGGGACTGGGACTCGTCGGAGCTCATGGTAGCTTGGTTTGGGGTTGCGTGGTAGGGTATATTCCGGCCTTGGGCGGCGCTACAGGTCGTCCATGTATCTATCTATATGCGCCTAGCAGACGTGCCGCCGTGCTGGGCGAAGACGGGGGCGCGGTCGACGACGGTGGAGTTGTTTCGTTGGCGTGATAAAGGGGTGGTTTGCGCGGACGATGAATGTAATGTATTGAAGATGACAGGGGAGCGAGGGAGCTGGATTGGACGTCAAGACGCCCGAATCGTCAACAGCTCGTGGTATAATTTCGATATCGGCGTTTCAATCTGGGCTCCGTGTCGTCGCTGCGATGTTGAAGCTGTCGATGCGCGCTCGATGAGGCGGTCAGTGTCTCTCCCTTGGAAACGATGGAAGACGGGAACGAGTCCAGCGGGTGAGTCGCGCGAAAGAATCAAGTTGTACAAACGTCGATGTTGTTTGTTTTAAGCGGTCGATGGGCGGATGTTTATCAGAAAACAAGATGAAAAAGGTTAAAGAGACAAAGGATGAAAAGGTCAAGGCCGAGACACTCAAAAAGTTTGCATCATTGACGTCTTTCTTTCGATGGGAGATGGGACGGGAGAGAGTGAGGGGCCCCTGTACCTGTACCTGTTCGGGTGTGGCTTTGGTGGGATAAAATGGTGCGCGCCGCGTCTTGATAACGTAGCGTTAGGTACTGCCCGTAGCTTCTGATGTGGCCTCGACTGGAAATTGCATACATTGAACTTTCAGGTCATTTCATCCCTGGCAACAACAAAATTCAAGGCGGATCAGCTTCCCATCTTCAAGCCTAAGTCTAGCAAATCAGATCCTTCCCTTGGCATCCACTGTAGACTCTTTGGGTAATTGTCTGACGGGATCCCAGCAGCATTTCTACCATCATTTTCATGCCAATATCAATCACCGTCTCCCCGAACACCAATTGTACACACATCCCCCATCTTCGCCTTACTTCTCACATGCAGAATAAACAAACAACCAAGTATTCGACACTTTCCGCCCTGCTCTGCTGTGCTGTGCCAGGCTAGACTGCTCTATTGTCGTGGTTGCATCGCATGTAAGCCGACGTGTCTTGCATTGCATCGCCTACTTAGCCTCAGACTTGTCCTCAAGAACTTACCGCATCCATGGTCACGCGCCAGAGACGCAACGCAACGCAACGCAACGCAGCGCCTTTTGTCGTCGTGGCTGTCAACAGCAGCAAAGACAGCAAAGAGAGGCGTCACCATCACGTAACCTGTCCAGGAGTGACTGATTGAGTACATATGTACAGTATCTCAATGCCATGCAACATGAAATCCAGCCCGACGGGCTGTAACTGGAGGCCCTGAGTGCAAGTCAACGAGCCTTCAGATATTAGTGCACCTATGCAATACCGCTCATAGTTCACGATATGGCCTAGTTATGTATCCATCCATCTCAACAAGTTATCGGTAGCAACCTGCCTTGATCCAAGGAGCCCCATTGGTGCTCACAAGCTAACATCCAGCTACGGTCCCTTCGATTGGCAATAGACCGCATCAAACAGCCCTTCAGCCGAAGCAACGCAGCTGGCTTGGTTGCCCTAGATCGAGTGCAGTCCAGCCTGTATCCGTAGAGTAAAAACTAGGCCATTTCTATCTTGACCAATCATCCAGCTCTAAACCCTCTGTGCATGAGCCAGCCACGAGATTGACCGTGCTTCGGCTCAACATCCAACTTCGGACGACGACCACGACAAGGCAAAGCCATCTTTCAACCGCCCAAAGTTTATCTTGAGAGCTGCCGATCATCCAATGTCAAACCGATCCGGATTAGAAAGAAGCTGGGTCCAGATCACCCAAACTCTGGCTCAAACTATCTAACCGAGGCTCGTGGCCAGCACTACTTGGTGTCATCTGGTCTG